TCACACATCACATCTCTCTTCCTCTCCCTTTCTTTCTTTCTGTCTCTGAGAAAGGGGTTGTTCTTTTCTTTGCCAACCACATTTCCTCCCATTTCTCCTTCAGGAGCTTGCCTCATCAATCATTCTCTACCTCATTTTCCCTCCCTATGAGTTCTTTACTCACTTCCTAAAAAACTTGCTTAGGCCTACCCCCTTCTTAAAGAATCCTCATTTGACTGTGCCATCCCAAGCTCTCAGCTTTTAGCCCTTCTCCATTGCCAAACTTTTGGAAAGACTCGTCTCTATTTTCTTACCACCTCTGAGATTGCTCTTCAGGGTTACCAACAATTGATAAATCCAATGCCTTTTTCTTACTAATTACCCTCCTTGACAAGCTAGTAACAAAACTGCCTTGCTTTGCTCTTCTGAACTTTTTTGTTCTCTGCATCTCAAATCGTGGGTAGTGTGGCTTAGCGGATAGCCATTCCAAGACAGGAAGGCCTACGTTCAAGCCTCACCCCAACACATACTAGTTGTCACTAAACCTAGAGCAGCTAAGAATATAAGCTGAAGAGATGTCCACCTGAATTGAGGGTGCCTATACACATGAAATCATAGGTTCAGTCTCTATCTCCCATATTTATTTATGCACATGATCTAACACCCTAGTAGAACATAAACTCCTTCCAAAGCAAGGCTTTTGTTCATGAGACTGTAAATTCAGAACTAGATGTACAGGACCTTGGAGGAAGGAATGATCGTGGCTTCTAGGAAATGGAGCTGAAGAAGAAAGGCATTTTTATTGTGGGGGACAGCCTATGAAAAGGAGGTGGAATACTGTACAAAAAGAACAAATTGGTGAGTCTAGCTGGAACCTGCATTGCTTAAAAGGAGATGAAACATGACGAGCCTGGAAAGGTAGGTGGGAACCAGTTTGTGATGGGATTTAAATATCAGTTTTCCTTGGATCCTAAAGGTAACAGGGGTCTAGCTGGCATTTTCTGAGCAGGGATAACAGATATAAGCTTCAAGAAAATCACTTTGAGAGCTATGTGGAGGATAAATTGGCAGGTCGAGACTGGAGACAGGGAGACCAAATAGGAGGCCATTTGAAATAGTGCAGGCAAGAGGTAGTATCATGACAGAAGGCATTGGCTAGCATCATAATGTTCTAGGAAGAGTTCAAGCAAAGAGCTATCCTACCCATGACGGACAGCTAGATGGCTCAGTGGATAAAGCAGTGGGCCTGGAGTCAGGAAGACCTAGGTTCTAATCTCACCTGAGCTTTACTAGCTATATGACCCTAGGCAAGCCACTTAACTTGTTTCCTTTAATCCACTCAAGAAGGAAATGACAAAGCATTCCAGTATCTTTAACCAAGAAAAGCTCATGGACAGTAATAGACCATACGGCAAAGAAGAGTTGGATATGACTGCAAAAACTCATGATGAGATTCACTAGTTACTCCAATTCAGATACTATACTAACTGCATCAAGCCTGGGAGCACATCAAAACCTCATCAGCAAAAACTTCTCAGAAACGCTTGATTGTCTAACCATCTATCCTGGGAAAACAAAGTGGATAACAATTATTACATTGTCCAAACTCTTACATACAAGTAAGTACATGGGTGGCCCATTAATTCCTTCTGTGAACATGTGTATCTTGGACAGATTTTGAAGTTGGATTAGATGAACCTGGAACTCTAAGAAACCTGCCTAGATATTGAGGAAACTCTATAAGGTTCATAAATGGCAAAGGAGATATGAGATGCATATAATTAGCATGTTCTCAATGGTGACTTGCACACAGAAGTGACACTGAGGGCATTATTGAGGACATGCATAACTGGAAAAGATGGGAAAAGGTGTCAAGATCTTGGATATACCAAAAACCCAAAGGAAGGCCTCTTCTCTACAGTGGATCCTTGGGGAAAAGATTAAGAGGTAGACAAAATCCTGTTTGGCTTTCAAAGCCTTTCATCATCTGGCCTCTTCCTACCTTTCTAGTCTGCTTACTCATTGATCCAGGGACCTAGGCCTCATTGCTGGCTGTTCCTCACACAAAGCACTCCATCTCTGAGCATCCTCACTGGCTGTCCTGGCATGTTTTCCTTTCTTATTTTCACTTTCCGGCCTCCTTTGGTCTCAGCTAAAACTCCTACCTTCCGCAAGAAGCTTTTCCCAGTCCTTCATAGCTCCTTCCCTCTCAGAAAATCCCCAGGTAGTTCGGAGGACAGAGCACCAGACTTGGAGTCAATAAGACCTGAGCTCAAATGTGGCTTCAGACACTAGTTGTATGACCCTGGGCAAGTCACTTAACCATGTTTGCCTCAGTTTCCTTATCTTTAACATGAACCGGAGAAAAAAATGGTAAAACTACTCCAGTCTCTTTGCCAAGAAAACCCCAAATGGGGTCACAGTTGGAAACGACTGAACATCTTGTTTGCATAGTTGTTCACAAGTGCTCTCCCATTAGATTGTGTTACTTGAAAGCAGTGTTTTGCCCTTCTTTGTATTCCTAACCCTTGGCAAATAGTAGGTGCTTAATGAGTGCTAGTTGCCTGACAATACCACAGGATGCAGCGTTGTAGAGGAGTTACAACCGCCTAGATCAGAAGTTCTCGAAATCCAGGGACCCTTCAGTCTGAGGTCAAAACTATTCTCATCATAAAACATTTTAATTTCCACTAGAAATGGATAAATGTAACCCCCACAATCAAAAGCTCTTTGAGGTTCTCAATAATTTTTATGAATGTAAAGGAGTCCTAAGACCAGCAGTACATGGAGATTACAGATACATCAGGGATCATTGACAAATTGCTTGTTAATTGAACGGAATGTCTTGCCATGGGATATTACTTATGGACTGGATTAAAATTATGAATGTTACATTACCAGAGACTTCACAGAACCTCTTTGGCTGAAAACACAAGGATAAAATGGGCTCCTAAAAAGGGCCCCAGCTAAAACAAATTCCTGACAGATGGGGAAACTGAGGCTTAGAGAGGTCTAGTGCCTGGACTGAGGTCACCCAGTTAGTAACAAGCAGGGAAGGAATTCAGAGCCGGCACACACCACGTTGCCTCTATCACATGTTTGAAAAGTCCCGAGTAACTTCCTCCTGTCTCATACAAAAAATCCTGCACTTGCATTACAGGTCTGTCACTTGAGTCACGAAATAACTGAACCATTTAATCTCTTTTCTCATCTGTAAAATGCGAGACGTTCTACTACCTTTGCCTTGCAAAGCTGAGGATTGAACGAAATGTTTTATACATAGCAAGCTATCATTACAACTAAAGCATGAAACTGATCAACTGTTTCACAAAATTAAAGTGACCAGACCTCAAATAAATGCCTCAGCTATGTGCAACTAGTATTTGAGTGGGAAAACGTCACCTGATTATATCCCAGTTGTCCTTCCTGATTTATAAGCCCCGCTACACGTTTGAATTTTGTAACTGCAAAGGAACCAGTCTTATCTATATTAAGCCATATTTAGAGCAGAAATGTCCTGAAGAGCTATGAAAGATAAACAGCAATTACAAAATCCTACAGAATCCCTACCCTCCTCCTATTAAAGTTTTTCAAAGTTTGTGATTATGGCTTGACAAACATTAGCTAACTTTTTAAGATTAGTGTGAATGAAGTATGAGTATAGACAATGTAAAACTATGCATAATCTATCTGGTTGGACTAAAACCAGAGAAGTTTGCTGTGCGAAGCTGGCATTCCAGCTCACAGTAAAACATTTAATAACAAAACAACAAAAAAATGTTGAGTAAAGCCCAAGAAGAGTGAAAAGCAATTTATTTTCAAAATTCAACTAAAATTCTTAGAAAGTTAATAACTATCTTCCAGTTAGTCGATTTTTTTCTGATGTTTTTCAAACTTTATTTTTAAAAAGTAGTTTCTGCTCACTAAAGTCCAGTAAAATGGATGAAATATAATTTTTCCCTCTTTTTTAATCCAGCAATTATTTGCCAAACTAATGAAAAGAAACAATGCCAGGTTAGCAGGAATAACACTCCAAGTATACCTCAGATCACTCAGGTTCTTTTCTCTATTTCTCTAATGGGTCCATTGACCCTAGATTTCTTGGGGATAGTAAGTAGTGTAGCTCTCTACTGATGTCAATTATCCCCACCAGACTTCTGGCATGTTAAGGCCTTGAAAGCTCCTTTCTTCTGTCTAAGTGTGACCTAAGATTGTCTCCTTCCTATCCCCTACTGGGGGCAGGGGAGAAGAGGAGGAGGAATTACTCCAAACAAGGGAAAAAGGAAAACTGAACCAAACTACCAGATAGAGAAAAGACCAGTTTTTAAAGTAGAGAACTCTAACGTAGTATAACCACCCCCAACAAGACAGGGACAGCAAGTGGCAGGATTAACTGGCTCCCCAGCAGGCCCAGAAATGGAAGGAGGTTATAAAGAACATGCCCTGATCTCCACATACAGGTTGTGGGGAGTCCATTTGGGGTTTTGGACCCAACGTGCATTAGCTACATCAGCTTGTTTCCATGTGACTTGCTTCTTTCCAATGTAGGTAGAGAGTAAGAAAACAAGTATTTCTAGCTGAGTGTTCCAGTTGGAGATCCATTCATGTAACCTGTGGCTGTCCCTGTACCTCCCCAGACCCCCCCAAATTTAAATAAATCAGCTGTGATCAAGGGCTATCTTTAAAACCTATTACAAACAACCTCCCCAATTTTGTGTCTGTGTCAAGCTAAACGAAGATTACTGGAGCTAAGCATGGAACCTGAACCTGGCAACCAGGGCACCCTCTGCAGAAGGGGAGTAAAGGTAGGGGGCAAGACTCAGAAGAAGACTGGGGAAAGCAGAGCAGCAAAAAGCAGGAGCAGGGGTGAGGGCGGGAGGCATAAGAAAACCAACCAAGACATCAGTGTGGGAAGCTGTCAGAGGCTGACTTGCCAGAAAGGTGCCCAGCTTAACTATTAGAAGTCTTATTTCACACCAAATAATTGGGGAATAATTTAAGGAACAAACACACAAGAATAATCAGGTGTTGCCCTGGATTTATAATTAAATACACAAAAAGTCTCAGGTCAGGCTGCCATCTTCTGGTACAAATGAGAATTTACATCAACATAAAAAGCAATTCAAAGAGTCTAACTTAAAATTTTTAGGATACAGGGAGATTTCAAGAAAATGTACTAACAGTAAAGATGTTCGGAAGCAAGTTAGTCAGAAAAAATGAACACAACATAAGTACATCATGATCTTCGTTTTTACCACCCATGAAAAAACAGTAAAAGCAAACAAGCATGATCAAACACAGAAATCTTAACATTTAAAATCTTTACAACACAGAGTTTGTTGGATGAAATTGCTTCTAAGTTGCTTTTATTCTTCAGATCTTCTGTTTTTGGGAAAACTGCCTATTGTTATCTGTAGAAACCAAGTAAAATATTTAGAATGAAACATTTTGAAAGCAATAGTAATTCAAAAGTGCATACAATACATTTCATTTTCATCTTTAGTCATAAAAAGACAAACAAGTTTACAGCGAAAGATCAGGAAGAGATAAAGGAAACATATACATACCGAATATTTTCCCCTCCCTGTTAGTAAAGGCTGGGAATTGAAAAGAGAGAAAATTCTATTTTATTTCATAAACATAAAAGTCATCTGATGCTGCATTAGACTAGAGAAAACTGAAACATTATAGATTATATCAGAAGAGGTTTTACTTTCATGCTAAACAATTAAGAAACAAAAGATTGATAAAATATTGAGAGCTACAGAGTAAATTTGTTTGGAAAAAAAAATAACAGAAAATCGAGTACTTTTTTTTAGATACAGATGATTTGCTAACCATATCAACCATAAACAGAAAAAAAAAGTCCATAAATGTTTTATATTGCCAAAAACCAAGCTTTGGAAACAATCCACCCTTTAGCAGGAGTTGGGATCACTCCGAGTGTTAATGTAAAATACATTAGTCTTAACAGCAGGGGTCCCAGACCTACTGGTGCCAAGAAGGTAACGGCAGTCTCTTTACAGAAGAGAAAAAATGCTCCATCACGGCAGGAGTTTTTTCCTTGTTGTGTTATTTATAAAGAGTTCTATTTGTTAACAAGTTTCTGCTATTAAGGCAAAAAGGTTTAATAGGACTTCAAAGAAAACTGTTTAATGACACAATGATTTACATGGATTTTTATAAGTTCAAGACATACCAGAGTTTTTTCAGTCTTACAAAGTCCTCATGCCCATTCACCTAGGGACTGATGAGACTACACCTCAACAAAGAAAAGCTAAACTCAAGCCAGTGCTAGCCGAAACTCCCGAGTGGAAATGCCAAGGGATAAAGGAAAGGACGCTGCTTTTTAAGAGCAAGCTGAGATCTAATACCATCCACACACCAGCAGAATATTTTTCTTGGGCCCAACCAATTAAGATCATTTAAAAGCTGCTGCTGAAAATTAAACCATGATAGCATCACTTCATGTTGTGAAGAAAATTTTCAATAAGCTTCTGAGTTAGCTGTAACTGTCTGGGTGATCTTAGCACCAAGAATTACAAAACACTACATCTTAGCCAACCACATATATATCTGAAGAGATACAGACAGCTTGGTTAAGAGCAAACAATGCCTTCTTGTTGAGCTCATTTAAAAAAAAAATCCTCAGTGGTGCATTTATTTTTTGAAAACAAGTCACTGGAAAAACTATTTTAAATAAGCATATATTTCATATTGGATTTTAATAATTTTATGTACAATTTTCATTGGAGATAGACAAAACTTTTTTTTATCAACTGCCTAAAAAATTGTTCTTTACTTCCTAGATAAAATTTTATGAATGGATGCATTTTCATATTTAGAAAAACTGTCTTAGTCTTCTTACAGTGTTTTAAAAGTCAACACTCACCCTTCTTATGTCTTTTATAACCTAAGGTTAATTTGATTCCAATTTACTCAAAGCCCCTTCTATCTCTGAATAATATCAATTACAAGTATTTTTTCTAATTACCTAATTAGTCAGATGTAGATATCTCTTAAACATATAGAGTTACCTTCCCCCTCATAAAACGAATGCTGGAAATGTCAGAAATTGTTTGGATTCTCCAATACTTCCATTTTTTCTAAGTCATTTGGGTGGTTTTCCTCATTCCTATGAGAACAGCTTGTTTTCCTGTAGTATTTGGGTCGAGAGGCACGTCTGGTCTCTGAAAAAGCAGACACACAAAAGCTCTTCCTCCTGGCTCCATGAGAAGCATCAGACACAGAATCATTCTCAGAGTTTTCTCTGTCTGAGATAGAAGACAAGAGACAGGGCCCTTGTGTGTAGGACAGATCTTCAAATTCTCTGGTAGTAGACAAACACACTGTCCTCCTTTTGGCTTTGTGAGAAGCAGAGGAAGTAGAGGGGCCTGGAAGTGAAACCCAAATGAGACCCTGACTTTCTGAATTTCTTCTCAGTCTTGTGCTGCGTCTTACTCTTGTTCCACTAGCGTTTAATCTCCTAAAAGCTTGTTTGATAGACTCGGTTAAATTGTTAAAGAGTTCAGAACTGTCAGATTCTTCCATCGGACGGCAGGTAGGAGACTGATTCCCAGGTTCTTCAAAATGGATGTTCTCATCAGCTGGACAATAAATAGAGCTTCTTCTCCGCCTCTTTATAAGATTTTTGTAAGTCAAGATGCCACTGTTTGCTTCTGGTTTTCTTTGTTTCAACTCTTGGCCATGACTCAGGATTTGTTCCCCATCTTCATCTATGACAGCATCTTCTCGATGACTCAATTCTGCCTTTGGAGCATCTGCTGAATGACTGCTCTTCGGTCTTCCTTCAGAGGCTATTAAAGCATCTTTTTGCTCTTCACAGGATGTGCTCAGCTCTTCGACGTGCTGTGTGTCATCAACACCTTCAGATTCACAAACACTTTCCATATTTGGAATAACAGCGGCAGACTGCAGGGGCTGCAACAGAAAACAACTGGACTGTGGGACACCTGGAGTCATTTCTTCTTCTACTGCAAGAGTTAACGCTGGAGAAAGAAGACAGATGTCTCGGTTCTTAGTCCTTTTCTCTGCGTGGTCTTGATGCTCCAGCTTGTTGGCACATTGAACACGGCCACTTCCATAAGCTGCTATTGTACTTGCATTTGAACCCTGTTCAAAAGTCACAAGACCAAAGGGTGGGTCATTTTCTCTATCAGAACTGAAACATTCAGAGGTGTCTTCTTCTTTGTAAGATGGAGCCAAGGTTTCCGGGTTCTGGGGCAAATATCTACTTCTGGGTTTTCCAACTGATTTATTTGGGTCAGAGTTCATGGCATCTTTATCTCTATCTTTGGAAGTGTTGTAATCCTCTTTTGGCAAATCAAGACAATCTGACAAAAAAGTAACAATGAAAAACAAAGTTAAAACTTTAAAAACTGTTGCTTGTATACACCTTGTGTTCTGTACCTTGTAAAACCATGATGCACCACCCTATTCTGTCTTGCAAGATAACCTACCAAATCTTCCACCCGTCACAGAGGATACACTCTCCTTGGCTACCTCCTATTTCTCCCTCATGACAAGAGGTGAGGTACCCAAAATACGTGTTGAACGAGTCAATCAATATTGTCTAGCTCATGAAAACATTTCAATTCTATAAATGCTTTTCTAGTGATATACTTCCTTCATGGATTCCACCAACTTGTGCAAAACCCATGTCTGTCACGTATGGAGACATGACCAAGGAGTTGAAACAGAGAAAAATGGCTAAAGTGTCTCAGATCAGTAATAAAGACAGGACTAAAATCAGATTTTCTGCATTCTTTCATAGGGTTTCTTCATCCATTTAACTATCACAGATAAGTCACAACATAACACTTAATTACAGAGAATTGCTACTACATTGTCCAGTCTAAGTGTTCTAACTCTGTAATCCTAAATTGTTACCACAAAAAATGAAATGGAAAAGATCAGTCCTCTCTACCTGGCTAATAAAAGAACCCAGCACAAAGTAATGTAAGACATAATTCAGTATTAGCATGGGGTAGCCCGAGTCTATGTAAGTGGGGTTATTTATACAATTTCACAGACACATACATATTTATCAAGTTTTCATGAAGTCCTACTTATGTACTGGAGAAGAGGTAAAATTTTAAAATGAATTCCTCTACTAAATCCTTTTATCATATTACATCAGTGGATCCAATTAGGGATTAAACTGTACAGTGACCAAATATTTTGGTATTTCCAATAATAAACTATCTGTACTAGATCCACTATGGTGCTGTCTCTCATCAAATTCCATCCAATAATTTATTTCCAATGCATCATGTTTAGATACATAGTTTGGAGAAGAAAGCAAGAGAGAGGGGAACTGAACCAACTATTGAAAAAATAATTATATAAAGCTTTGATAACAAATAGGTGGGATTTAATCAGTAAAAAAACTGGAAGTTATTTTTGAACATATATATATATATATATATATATATATAAGGTACTGTGAAGCTTAATGTTCAAGGAACTCTCCCCTCTAGAAAACAAACGGACAACTAGCTTTTGTCTGATGTGACGACATCCAGTAAAGGAAGAAGTACCTCCTACATCTTAAGGAAGACCATTTTAATTTGGAAACATGGTTGCAGATCAGACCTCTCTAAATCAGGGAGCCAATCTTTAAAAATTTAGCGTTTAAATTGAAGACTTTCACTGTAATATGGTCTTTACAGAGCACAGTGGTACTCTGAATCCTAGAAGATGCTTGATATTAAATACATGGGATTCTCAGAATCCAAACTAGTAATTTTGTGAATAACTAGAGACAGTGTGGCCTAATGGCTGGTCTTAGAGGCTAGAAAACCAGGGTTCAAGTCTTGGTTTTGCTTTGTACTCACTCTGTGATGACAGAGAAGTCATTTAACCTCTCAGTGTGGGAGGTAACTCTAAGTAATTAAGTTACCAGGGATTTGATCCGTATCACCAGAGATTCCCTAACAGTGATGAAATTCTAAGTCCCACCAAAAAAAATGGACTGAATATAAATGAGCCAAATGCTTCCTTAAAATACACATCAAAAGTTATTCGCCTTGAAAATTATCATAAAAGTTTCAGTCTTCAGACAGTTATAAGGAAAGTAGTAATGGCTTGATTTCAATGTGCTTTAGAGGAGCTGATTACCCTTAGTGTAATAACAGTCTTAGGTAAAATGAAAAAAAAATCAGTGAAGATTCAAATGAATTGGAACACGAATCAATCCTTATTACATTCCTCCATACTCAGCAGTCCCACACCAGGCCATCCAATAGGACACCACATCTAGTATGGCCACCTCCTCCCCTTCTTGTTCAGCGAATAAGAATCAAATTCACTATTATGATTACTACTGCAGATACTATGAATGCATAGCCCCATGTCCCACTCACAAACTCTCTGATTTCCTAGATCAGTTTCCCAATCTGATATAAGAAGCTTGTCAAGTGGGTCTGGGGATTACATGGTAAATATTTAGGATGAATCTACTGAAATATTCTAAAAGTAGTAGCGAAAAATGTTATGGATTGGAGAGAGAAAGATTGGGCAGCAGGGGCAGGGTGGGAAAGGGTTAGTGTATCTCAAAACAGTCAGTATCAGTTGAAGAAATGATTCCAACTGAACAAAACCAATTTTTTTTAATGAAGATGTGAAAAACTTTTTATATTGAGCTGGAAAAAAGAATAAGCAGTCACCCCCACTGCTAACCCCTCACCCCCTAGAAAGGCAAACTAAAACTAATTTATTTCTCATGTCCAAATACATGGCTAACTGTACACAGAGTCTTTTCTATCAACGGGATAGAGGTAAGTTAACTGAAAGCCACTTGGGCAGAGGGTCAGGAAAAGGCTGGGGAGCCTGGAGCCCTATTCCCCAGCCACTGCTTCCTCCTCAGGCTGCAGCACAACCTCTTGGAGAAATTCAAAGTCCTTCAGGGCACAGTTACATTAGTATGTCCAACACACGGTTAAGTGGTCAACAGATGTTTGTTGAGCAATTTTTATGCCTGTGGATCATTCAGAAGAGAATAAATATGGGCATGAATGATGCAGGATGGGGTAGAAATGGACTGAAATCTTAACTTACTCACCCACATTGACAGAAGCAGCTACACTGTCATATTTCATGTTTTAAAATGACTAACCAAGAAACAAAAGGAAAAGTACTATATACCTGAGTACCACAGAATCGGCATTCTCTGTGTACTGGGTGTTGTTGTAGAAGGGGTCTCGGGGATCTCAGGAATAGGACTCAGAAGAGGTTTCTTAGAGGCTACCTCTCTTAGGCCACAGAAAGATTTCTGTAACCTCTTTACTTTTCCTTTCCTCCTTCTGCAATTTTTTAACACCTAAGAAAATGTATAAAACATTGTAACCAAAACAGAAGTAGTGTTATCATTCTTCATAATTTTTACATTATCTCTATCACTCAAATTCTTTATTAGGTTGCCTTCATATGCCTGAACAATTTTCAACCAGTCATCCCCACTCTAGATAATGATGGGCCCGTTCCTGGTTTGCAGCTGAAATCGCTGCTCCAATTCTATCAAGTCTCAGAACCTTGCAGAGTCTTCCAAATCAGAACCAAAGAGACTCAAAAGAATTTTGCTTCATTTTCTACATATGAAAACGAAAAATAGATAAAAGAATGCTTATTGTTCAGACAAGGACAGGCACAACTGGATAGACAACCCATAGAATCTAGCTGGCAGCAGCACATCCATCTCAGAGAGATACTATGAAATGATAAAAAGCTAGACTCAGAATTGAACAGAAACAAGAGAAAGGCCTGGATTGCTTTTAGGAAACTACACAATGACTCTAGTGATCTTAAGTGTCTTGGTAATGTTGAATGGTTACAAGTCTTGCAACAGCATAGTTTCCAGAAACCTAAAGTTGAAGGACACCCGAAGGACAATTACCAAACAATAATTTTGCAGAAGGAGTAGTAATCAAGATTATCACCAGAGACACGTGAGCAAACAAGGTCCTCTGGCCTGAGTGCTCCAAAGGCTCCTGATGTGTTAGGCCACATCGGACCCCCATGAAATGTGGGCAGGAGAACAGAGCGAGGCAGCAGGCCAAGACGGAAAAGGCAGAGGTGGGTTATAACACGCAGTTGGAAAGAATGTGCCTCCACCTGTGGAGATGTGAGCTGCCACAATTCTAATTCAAGGAAGAGAGGTATGTCAAAACAATACACAGCACAACTTCATCTAGAATTTTTAAAAGTTGTTTTTTATTTCTACAAAGTACCTGACAGTTTTCCCTTATAGCCTTAGGGATCATACAGTGAGAAGTGGGCTGGATATTTATTATACATTATTATTAGTAACTACAATAATAATACATTGACATAGTGCTGTACGTTACAAAGTACACTGTTTGATCATCACCACGATATTTAAAAGTGTAGTTGGGGTACTGTGACTACTTTACAGAGGGATAAGCAGGCTAGGGGAGGCTCAATGAACTTGCCCAGGGTCCTAAAGCCGGAACTAGGCCTCCAATTCCAAGGCTGCTCCTTTTTTGCAACATTCTGAGCTACTGTAATGAACACAGCTCAAATCTCCACTTTAGGGGGTGCTTTTCTACAGGTCTAGGCTGGCATGAAATCTGTCTATGACAGAAAGCTAGTTTCAATAACCAATGTGTAAGAAAGGACAAAATGGACATTCAAAACACAAGTTTAACATGAGTCAAAAGTAATATGTGGCTGCTAAAAAAGAGAATATTTTTTAGGTCTTACTAGGAAAAGTCCAGTGTTATGCTAGACTTCTTGACGACAAGTATCAAACCTGGAGTACTGTGGGAAATACTTGTTAAAAGAGTAATAGTGACCAGCCCAAGGACAAGGAAGAGGCAAGAAAAGCAGGAATACAAAGAGCCTGGGAAGCATGTGATGGAGGAGAGCCGGAGGAAATGGGAATGTGCAGCACTGAGTAACCAAGGCCACTCTGGCTCCCTCCCACTACTTAGGGAGAGTGGTCACAGAGGAGCAGACGCGCCGTGCTGCTGAATGACCACAGCAAGAGCAGGTAACGAACAGGCTGCCTGGCAGACTCCACTCAGCTGTGACCTGGGGCAAGGGCCAGGGCGGCACACACTTACCTGCATCTTTTTTGATGCTGTTCTGTTACTGTTCTTTGTTCTTGGTGCTTTCTTCTTACTGCATTTCCTTTCTCTCTCACGCTTAACATCTGTGCTAACTAGGTTGCTAAAATCAGCCTCTTCAGTAACATGACCTGACTGCTGTAGCAAATATAAAATCTGAAGTTAGAAAGACAATATTAAGCTTTAAAACGCTCGTGTCCGTTGTTAACTAAAACACTGGGGGGAAAAAAGCACATTGTGTCAATCACATAATTTTCTTTTTTCTTTTTTTTCTGCTACACTGCCTCTTACCCTTCCAGCTGCTACTTTCCCCTCAAACACCACCACAAGATGGTAACTGATTTTAAGACTTAAAAGGAGAAAATGGCTGGAATGATCCACTGCAATCACCTCAAAGTTTCCAACCTGATCTTGAACTGACACACAAAGCCAGGGCTGTATCATCTATTATACCAATCACACATTTAAGGAAAAGAAGGAATAAACTAATAATTGATTTGTCAATTAAAAAAAAAAAGAATCAGAATCTATTGGATTAGGTATGGTTTACAAATCCAGTATTTGCTACCCTGAATACTCATAGAATAAAAATTAGGAGGAGGGGCTAATCTTTTGAAATTACAAATAAAATTCCATTAATTCAACTTTATAGAAAGTTCAACTGCAATTAAATTTGAATTATTAAAACAGAAAGAACATTGTTTAATAGATTTTATTGATGAAGCAGGTACTTAGCACTCTTGTTTAGATCTCACCACCCCAAGGTTGCCTGCACCCCACTAAAATTTCAGGACAATACAGCTCCAAAAAAAAGGTAAAAAACTCTAAATTGAAACAAAGTTTTCTTTAAACTAGATCACCTGCTTGCTACATTAACAAGTACTGGAGAAAATATCACATTTGAAAGGATTTCTTTTTTAAGAGACTTCATTGGAATCCAATCAAAAAGGACTGGAATTCCTTCCATTAGAAAATGGAAGGAAAGAAAAAAAACATTCATTTCATAAAGAAATTTTTTTCACTCAAAAGTCTACTAACAATCAAAGCTTCAAGTAAAAGTGTTACGCTAAAAAAAATACAAATGGGGGGCAGCTAGGTGGCACAGTGAATAGAGCTCTGGCCCTGGAGTCACGAAGAGCTGAGTTCAAATCCGACCTCAGACACATAACACTTACTAGCTGTGTGACCCTGGGCAAGTCACTTAACCCCATTGCCTAACCAAAAAACCAAACCAAACAAAAAAATACAAACAGAACAAAAAACCAAAAACATCTTACCTTCCTTTTGCTAGAGGATCGTGTTATCCTATCAACTTTGGAAGGGGAAATTTTTTCACACTTATTTGAAGAATTAACAGCATCAGTGTCTGAATGAGTAAAATACAAGGCAAGATCAGGATTTTAATTAAGCTGCCTAATAACAAAAAGAGGTCCCCTCACACACACTGACACACTGAACTCATAATAACTTTCGATGTGATGAATGTATTGCTATCCTGACACCTTCTAGATACCCAAGATAAGTTTAGAAACCAGGTACAGAAACCAGGTACATCTACTGAGCACAATGAAACTTGACCTTTCTGAAGACCACCCAATACTGTTTTATCACTGCAGGAGCATTGACTTCCAATTTACAGTATAATGCTTCTACACCTTAGGTACAAATCATAATAAAAGAAATCACCACTGCGCAGTCAGCCAGTCTTCCAGCGATGAGTCAAAATTATCTGCGTCTTGGCAAACTAAGACTGTAACTGGACCTGTACTTACAGCCCTTCCAGCCTGGCAGGCTTTTGCCAAAGTCTGTGCTCTGATGATAGAGCCTTAAAGATTCCAAGGTCACTTCCATGTATTAACAGATTGAAATAGTAGAACTATTTAATACGTTACCAAAAAGAAAGCAATGTGTTAACACATAAATTAAAACATGCTACAGATACCATAATGTGTTTGCTAAGGTAAAAATGTATTGTGTTCTGATTTCAAGCAGCAGTCAACACAATGACATGCTAATAATGAATGAATAGAATGTAAGCTCTTTCTGGGCAGACATTTTTCATGTCTTTCCATCTTTTGCATGTAATATAGCACCCACCCTGTACATAGTGAGCAATTAATAAATATCTATTGAATTAAACTGCATTTGGATACTATACTTTTAGTACTGGTAACTGATTTACATAGTTTTTTGTAAAATTTTGATTCAGTTCATCATTTTGATATTAAAATGTCTTAAATAGTGGCCAGATAAAGAAGATTGAGGCCACTCTAGATGGTCCAGAGATGTCTTATATTTAGGGTTCTCTACTTATGTGCCATCTTAATCAAATCAAGTCTTCCTGAGGTCAATTTTCTCATCAGTAAAATGGAGGAGACTAGATAATCCTTAGCCTTTTCCAGGTCCATATACTTGCCAGGGGCACTGTAGTTATGCTCAGGATGCTGCTATCACAGTAACTTAGGACTTGGAAGGAACCTAAGTGATGACCAAGTTCAAGTGGGCATGTATTTGGTCTTTCTTGGCAGTCCTCCATCACCTGGAACATACCAAGGGGGCTGCTCATCCACATGTGGACAGGTCCAACCGTCACACATTTTCTTCTGACATTAAGCCTGAGATCTCTGTGACTTTCATTCGCTGTCCCCAGCACTGCCCTCCAGGGACAATCAGAACAGGTCTGATCTCTCTGTTGTTGGCAAGCTTTCTCATACTTAAAGCGAGCTATCATGAGCCCTTTCCAGTCTTTCTTTCCAGATGAAATCTCAGTTCCTAAACTAGATTCTTACAGGGTGTAATACCTCTGAGGGGTGGGTCTCACAATCCCAGCTCAATGAGCAGACTTTTTTACAAAACTGATATCGTATAAAGTAAGCCCCAGAAAAATAGTACAGACATGGATCACCACAATGTCAATGGAAGGAACCAAAAAAAATTAAAAAAGAGAGAAGAAGCAGTGCTGTGTAATTAGAATGACCAAGTTTGTGCCCAAGAGATAAGAAGAGAGAATGCATCTCTGTAGTCTTTGCAGGCAGGAACCAGAGATATGGAACATGGACACGGCACTAACTTGCAGAACTCCTCTGGACAACTCCATCGTCCTTTCAAACACACACTGAACCACTAGCGTTAACTCCTCCTCCTCCTCTCTTGTGTCTTTGCCATTCAAGGCCTTCTGAATGATCTAGCTGGAGTTTCCCGAAGCCCACACCTCTTTGTCTTTTCCATACAGGTAAATTTGGTCTGTGGCACCATCCTCCTGGTCTACCAACTTAGTTAACCCTGTCAAAATACTTTCTAACAGCCCTTCTAAGGCAAATCTGGCATTAACTGTTCTTTTTCCTGTCACTGAAGTTAAGTAGCGACTTCCTCACATCCTTTAGAATAAAGCAGAATCTTCGCTGCCTGGCATCGAAGGCCCTCCCCACCACTGGCCTCAGCCTCACTGGACAGTCTACTCCATGGCTGCCAACACTTCGCTGTCCTGCCTCCCTGCCTCTGCACCACACGTCCCTGGGGCCTGGACGCACTCCTTCCCGAATGCAGATCAAGCACTAGTCCTCCAGAAGAAAGCCTTTCCAGATCCCAGCGGCTACTCCTCCCTCCTGGTATTGACGCTGCTCATGCGCTGCCTCGCTCTAACTGAATCCAAGTTCCTGGACAGGAAGGATCAGTTCACTTTCTGAAGCTGCGCCTCCAACGATGCCTCGTGCTGGCTGGTGGGTCTGTGCAGACTCCATTAATTCTCCTATTCTCCACACTTGGAAAGAGCCCTCCCAGTGGCTAGCACTGACACCTGTCCATGCCTTCAGCAGCCTGGATGACCTTAAACTCATGGATGGCTAAATGCTCCTTGCATATTCCTTGTGTAACTCTCCACATTTAGCCATTTTGGTTTTGTCTTTTCCCATGCAAAAACCTCTTCTCCTTGCCAGAGAAAACAGAAGCCAAGTAAGAATGGAGGAGCACTTCTCTCTTTGGCCCCACAACTGCGTCATTCACCAAGAAAAGCAGGCCTATCGATCTCCTTCTTTCCCTAACATAGGTAAAAACTGTGACCCTCAGCTTTCCTCCTCAGGCTCCTGCCGTCGTTCTTAGAGGCCAGGCACTGCCGACGTCATCCTCCGTGGCATGACTGACCTGCTCTGGCTTCCATTTTCTGTGCACGTCTGGTTAAAGTCTGTCCTGATTAGTGGGTTCCCGGCACCTCCGCAGTGGTCTCTTTATACAGCTCTCTCTTCCTCCTCACTAGAATTCTCTGAGGTCTGCCCCATAAAGGGGAGTCACAGGTTCCTATCCGAACCAGGAAGCAGCCATGAGGAAAGACCGAGGAGGACCCCCGTCGTTCTCCCGGGTTAGCTGGTCAGTGGGGCTGGAGCTAGCTGCTAGGAGTATCAACTCAGGACTGGGAGCATCTGAGAGCCTTTGGCAGGATGGCTATCTCCCTCACTTGGACTTCACTGCCTTTAAAATTTAACTACTACAGCAAATACTTAGCTAACAAGATTTCCTGCTGTTGGACTGAGGATGGTCTCTTTAAGAGAACTCTTACTACAGCTCTTAAAAGTCTCCAAAGATAACATCTTCAGAGTCACTGCGACAGTAGGGGAGTTGTATTTGTTTTATCCTTCACTACTTGTTTAAGAGGACACTAAAAATTGCATTAAAAAACACAAACCATACCTTCAAGAGTTTCAGAGGATGAAGAATCAGTAGCAGGTCCTAGGACTGCAAAAGACACTTCAAGTGGCTCCATGTTTACCTGGACAAAGTGGAGTTGAAAGGAATGGGAGGAAAATTAAGACCCATATTTAGCAGATGATAAGGTGAAAAACTGATGACAAATAAAGAGGCCTGGATGAGGAGTGATCCAAATTTACTTAACTTAATCTCCCTAATACAACAAGTCAGAAAAGAGAGGCTGCAAACGTTCGCTAAGAAAGGAAGAAAGAAGCAGGAGAGGCAGATGTGGGAAGGATCCTGGAACTCAGCCATTTCTACCTTAGGGAAAGCATGTCACTTCTGGAAGTTTCACTTTCCTAAATCTATAAAATCTAAATAATACATAAATACCCAGTACTAAATAAAACATAATAAGCTTGTACTTCCTTTTCCTTAGTAAACAGTAAAGCACTATATTTACGCTATTATAATGACAGAAAAATGTATTTTCTGGTACTTTGTCAGTAAATTGAGTTTACTGATATATGCAATACATCAAAATAAAAAATTTACAATTATAAGTGACAATATGTCTTGTCTACTATGTTTTATTTGTGAAAAATCACTTTCCTTACATCCCCAAGAAACATTAGAAAAGTCCTTCTTGAACATAATAAACTACTAATACAATATGAAATATTGATATATATGATATACAGTATGAAAAATGGCTTTAGATTCAATAATCCTAAATCTTACTGGTCCTATCATAGGCTGAACTTCCTCTCCCTCCTCCCCCAAAAATCTGTCTGATGAGAAGAGGTAATGATGATTTCTCTCACTCTGTGTGTGTGTGTGTGTGTGTGTGCGCGTGTTGTGTATGCATAAGTTCCAAAGATATCTCATTTTAGGGATACAGCTTACAATGGGAACCTATATATTTAACATTCTTAATTTTCCCACAAGATCTCATGAGAATAACTTCATTGGAAATAGTCAAATATTTCAGGCATATGTGAATCTAAGTTAGTCATGCACAGCATTAGAACCTCAAATATAAAAAACATTACATAACTAAACATTAATATTTTAAACCAGGGATTCTTAACTTGGCATTTCTTAACTTTTTAACTGATAACAGTATTTCAATATAATTGGTTTCCTCTGTAATCCTGCTGTGTATTTTATTGTGCGCATTTAAAAACATTTTTCTGCTGAGGGCTCCATAGGCTTCACAAACTACCAAAGGCATCAACATTTGGGTAAACTGTCTTATTTTAAGTCAATGTTTGGCTGTTGGTTTTTACAGCAAATGAACAATCTGAACCCATTCTACTTAAATCAAACAATCCTCCCTCCTGTCCCCCGCCCCAAATCCTCTAAAGGAGATAATAAGTATATTAGTTTAAGCACAAATATGTGACCCAAGTACCCAAATCAGCCTGTTTGCCAAAGGAAGTGGAGGGCTGCTGCAAGGGCAAGCCTGGCACAGGCCTTTTCTCACTTACAAGATTCTGTTCTGGCTCTTCAAAGTTTGGTTGAGATATTGCCTCCGAAATGGGCAGCCTTGGGAAAAAGGGAGGATGAATGCTTCTTACATCTTGTTGTCGAGCAGGCGTGCCGCCTTTACGCAGCGGGGTATTTGCTGGCAATGATTCGTCAAATACTTCAGGGCTTAGCTCTTCTCCAAAAGTAACTCTCTTTCTGTGCCATGTTTTTTGGTCTTTTAAACTGCTTTTTTCTGCAGTAGATAAAACAATGTCAACAACCTTATACTATGAAGCCTTAGATTTGAAAACCATGTAATGCTTCAGAAAAAACAGCAGCAATATAAAATGAACAGCAATGATGAGAATTTGGAATTTTTTCAATGTTTTTAAATTTACAAAAAATGAGATACAAAATTCTATTTAAAATTTTGCCGTAGAGTGAATGGAGAAGTTGGAAGTCAGCAAACTCAGACTTAGTCATCAGTTACACAGGAAAGCCTGCACCAGCCTGAGAAGAAAGGGAGCTTCCCAGCAACCTCTGGGAGCGTCCATCCAACTCCAGGCTCCCATCGCTCCACTTCAGTCTTGAAACAAGTGCCTGACTTCCTGAGACAACTCCAGCTGGAGTCTCTCACCCCAGGGGACAATAAGCACCCCACCTAAACTCACTCCTCAGTGATAAACATACCTCCACAGCATCAAACCCTCCAGTGATTCTGAACTGGCTGCCTTTATTCAAACCCCTACTGATCAGCATTCTCATATTCTCAAACTTCATAACCAAATCACTCCAAGTTCCCATTCTAAAGCTACCTACCCTCTTCTACTGTGCTCAGACAAAAGTTTGCTGAGGTACAGCCTAAATCTTTTCTCGCACAGAGACCTGGCTGCCTCCAGCTGACACAGCTTCACAAGTCCAGCAGCCTGCCTCATGGCCCTGTTCTCCTGTCCAGCTCCAGCCTCCACCCTGGGAGACTTGAGCATTCACACCAGCACTCTCTCAAATTCCGTGAACTCGCTACCCCACCTCAACGACATGCAAAGATAGTCAGGTCTCCTAGATCTTGCCCTCCCCAAGTGTATCAGGTCCACGTCCATGAACTGATCTGACAATCACTTGTTACATTCCACTTCTTCTGAAGCCTTGCTACTCCAAACCTCATTCTTTGTCTTCAAGTGTGACATCTAACCCTGGACTCCTCAGCTGTTCCCTTTCCTTTTCCCATCCTGGCCCCTTGGTGAACCACGCTGTCACTTCTCCTGTCCCTCATCCCTTACCCTAAGATTCTGCTCTGCAAAGCCTCAGACTTGGATTACTCCTCCCACCTGCTGCCTTCACTTCTACTCATGTGCTCTTAAACAAAACTAGAAGAAATCTTGAAATTGTGCTTACCAGGCTTACTACTAATTTATATTACATAATCTTAACTGGGCCCTCACCAAGCAAGGCAAGGCAAGGCAATCCTTACATCTGACTAAATTCATTCATTATTCCACTCTCCACAGCTGTTCTTCCAAATCTTTTCATCCCTCCTCCAACCTCCCATGGTCCTCCCTCCCCTTATACTCACAACTGAGAACCTTGCCTCACATTTCACTAAAAAGACTGAGGCCCCTCTCTGAGTTCCCTCTTCTCCCCCCCTCCTCATCACCTCGCAGACATGTTCGGCCACCATCTTCTTCACCCCTCTCCTAAGATCCTTCTTCCTGCCTAGGCAAACACTTTTAAGTGCACAAGTGATCCCACTCCACCCTGTTTTCTCCACAAGATGCCCCCTCTACCATCCTCACTCTTCAATCTCTTCTTGATCTGACCAGCCCTACTGGCTAGTGTCTCAGAGGTCTCCTCCCTTTTGTAGATGGCTGTCTACAATGTGATGCCTCCAATTCCTTTCTTCTTGCTCACTTAATTTCTCTATGCTCTTGCTTACACATTAATTTATCATTCAACTGAAAAAGCTCTTGCTAAAGTTACTAATGATTTCCTAGTTGCAAAATTGAGTGGCCTTCTCAGTCCTCAATCTTCTTGACCTCTCTTGCAGTCTTTGATACTGCTGGTCACCTTCTCCTTGCTACTCTCTTCTCTCTAGGATTTCACGACACTTCTCTCTCCTGGTTCTCTTCCTCCCCATATGACCTAATGCCTTCTCAGTCTCCTTTGCTGGATCTTCATCCAGTTCACACTCACAATTCATGAGTGTCCCCTCCCCAGAGGCTCTGTCTTGGGCCTTCCCTCCTCTTCTTCCTCTCTACTATTTTACTTGATCTCATCAGCTCCCATGGATAAAATTATCACTTCTGCGCAGAAGATTCTCACATGTCCAGCCCTAACCTCTCTCTTGACCTCTAGTATGGTGTCACCAAATGCCTACTGAACATCTTGTAGATATCTCAAGCTCACTGTATCCAAAACGGAATTCATTATCTTTCCCCCCAAACCCTTCCCTTCTTCCTAACTTCCTTATTATACTGGTGGCACCATTGTCCTCCCAGGCACTCAGGCTTCCACCCTAGGTATTATCCTCAACTCTACTCTCATTCTCCATATCCAATAAGTTGTCAAGTCCTGTCAAGGCCACCTTTGTAACATCGTCACCTCTCTTCTGCCCCTCCCCCTGGACTACTTCCATAGCCTGCTGGATGACTGGTTCCCTGCCTGAAGTCTCTCTGCCCTCCAGTCCAACCTCTGCTCAGGAGTCAATCTTCCTACAGCCCAGGTCAGCCCAGGTCACACAAACACACTTTTCCCCCAGTCAATAAATTGCATTACCTTTCTAGAACTTCAAGGATCAAACATAAAGCCCTCTATTGAATGAGGACAGGAATAATACTTAGCAGAAGTGCAAAGGCATAAGGAGATGAGTGAAAATAGCACCAACCAGAGTTACTGGTAACAACAAATAAAAATCCTTAGACTCAGAAAAGAACATGAATTCCCTTACCTTTTTTCAGTTCTTCACAACCCTTCGAAAGATCTGAGAATGAGAGTGATTGCTTTCCATCATACCCAGTGGTGTCACAATGCTCCTAATAAAACAAAGCCCAAAGACATAGTTTAGATCCCTAACATTCCTTAGGACAGGAGTTTCAAACCTTTTTCTACCAAGAATATCATCAATGTTTCAAATCTGCTTGGACTTCAGTGTAGGTGTGGCTGGGAAGTACACGGGGGAAGCTGGATTCTGCCTCTTACTAGATGTGAACAGTTACTGCTTACTGTCAGTACTTACACAACCTTATCCACAGTCTTATTTGAAGGAAAGTGCTTGATGCCTGACAGAGCAGAATTAAAATGGGAACTATTATAACTACGTCCTCCTTCATCCCCATTATCCTGACCCTTCCTTTATCACCACAATATTCTTATTCCTTTTTTCTATTCTCATAAAGACTCTTAGGCTTTGAAAAATGTCCAAATTCATCATGGGAACCATGAAGGACCTGAGGAAGAAAAAGGTACCAGGACATGGTGAACAGTCTTAGTCTAATCTAAAAGGATGTTTCCTGATGTGCTTCTGTCCCCAGATGTCATCCACAGGACCAACCTGAAAGGTTTCCTCTCATCTTGGATCTAGGAAAAGCATCTCTGACAGCTAATTAACAGAATCATTAAGAAATGTACTATTGCTAAACCTTGCAGGCGAATTAAGTTTGAAATTGCACTAAAGTCATAATTTAGTAATTAAACAGACAAGTGATAACTAAAATTATATGATTACATAATTTCTAACTGGAAGGGATATTGTAAAAACCCCTCTTTTCTTTTTTCTTTTTTTACAGAGAAGGATATTAGGACCCAGAAGACAGGTAACAGGATTTGAACTTAGGATTTCCAAATATAAATCCATTGTCCTTTCCACTATACTTGTTTCCTTATAGAAATTTCTTCCTGCTGGTCACATCTCTTTATCTACAAACCCCCATTATTGGAAAAAGATGCCAGGGTATCTGTGCTACTCTTCCCTGACCCTTGATCTCTGCCTCCCAAATACGGAGGACATGTGACAGAAGAGCTAGGGCTATACAAACCCAAAAGATGAGAACCATGGGAAGCCTAGGAGCCAGCACCACATGGATTTCACTAGGGAAGAAGGCAAAGAGCCAACAAGAAACCTACAGAGCTCTTTTCAACATACAACTCTCTGACCAACTAGTTTTCTTCTACTTTCAACTCTAAATTTCCTAAGTGGGCTCCACAGAAAACAGCACCCATTCAAAGACCCAACTTTCCCTAACAAACTCCTTCAACACAACCCCTCCCAAACCAGCCTGGCCCTGAATAGGCACCTCCTGGCACCCCTATAAATGTAAATTCTGTTCAAATATTCATTCAGCACTAGCTATAATATACAAATAACAACATTGAAATCCCCCCTGCTGTCCCAAATATCTATATTTATGAAATAGATATTTATTAAATACTTGAAGGTACTTTTTAATTAATGAATGTCTACAAATAAACAGGCATACTTCAAACTTTGCTCAGCTTGGTAAAAATTTTATCCTTTCTTCCACAAGAGAGCAGCATGGTTTAGTGCAAAGAATATTGGACCTGGGAGTCAGGAAGATATATTAGAATCCTTCCTAAGACAACTGTCTGTGTGACTGTGGGCAACCATCAGCTAGCTATCTAGGTGTCAACCATTATCATGCCCCCAGAGGGTTACCTAGTACACGATTCTGCGAGAGGTCAGAGGGACTAATGTGAGCTTTGGGGGAAGAAGGGTATATTTAAAAAGCACAATGAAGCAAAAGTCCACAGAATGGACTGATCATCTCATCAGTTTTGCCATTAATTTTTTATACGGTCTTGAACAGTATCAAGCTCTTGACACTAAATGAGGAGGTGGTACTAGGCAATGTCTCAGATCCTTTGTGGCTCTAAAATGCAATGACTACTCACCAACATCTGAATAAAATCATTTTCATAATTATAAAAATCAACTTGGGAGAGAGTATGGGACTGAGGGTCAAGCTCAGACAGAAACGTCTCAGCTCAAGTCTTGCTTCTGGGTGAACTGAGGCAACATGTCCAGTGGTGCAGGTCACTTTACAAGACTAGAAATTGCAGAAATTCCTGATCTATGTGAGAAGAGAGGCTTCCACACCACGGGCTTCCTGTATTGATGAAATTCACAAGACAAGCAAAAAAAAAAAAAAAGGAAAAAAAAAAGAAAAAAGACCCCTCATCGAGTATATAATGACATGGGAGGCAGACATTTCTGACAGACATTACAATCCAGACAAAACTTAAGACATCTTTCATGCTGCTAAAGGTTCTGGAGTTTTGTCTTTCAATCCCATTGGAAGAACTTTCTCTTAGCCACATGTGTCTCTACTGGCAAGGCTGGTACCTGTAAGCTTTCCAGGAGCAGTTTCACGGGGGTCTTCTTCAGCACAGAGCGAAGGAAAGAGGACTTACAAGACGAAAAATCCCCCTCATACACAGGTGCGACTGGTGGCATGATCTCATGGAACGGCTCTGTGCTCAGTTCTTTCCCAGCTCTGCCTCTCCTTCCACGAGGTCTGGAAGCAGCACTACTTGCTTTTTCTTCCTCTGCACATCCAGCTATGTCCTTCCCTTCAAAAGAAACACACAAAGCTTAAGACTTTAGGGGCAGGTCAAGCCCATTCAGATTAATTTAAAACAACATAACCCTCAAAACCATGTGTTTACAAAGCAAGCAAGCTTTTGAGAGGATTTTTTCCTAATCTTTAAGTTAAGTATCTTATCTTACAGTGCCTTCTAGTGAGAAAGCGCACTGGGGGAAGAGCCCTTGGCTCTCAGTTTTAAGTCTTTTCACCTCAAAAGTGCATTATAAGACAGCAAAACGATGCTGCTACTCACCGCTTACTATGTCAGTGTAGCTGCTGGGGCTGAAATAGCCTTTTAACCCCCAATGTCCCTGGTGCTGACCTGCCTGTCCATAGACCCTGGAAGGGCTCTGGAGCCTGACACCATGGCCTAAAGGGATTAGGAAACTATATATAGTTGGGCAGTCTGTTCACAGTAAACACAGAAAATTGATACTTTAATTATCAGTATGGACCTTGGCATAAAGAAAAATATTCTAAAATGCTACTACAGGTAGAAGTACTAACATAAAAAACTTTAAAAAGTTAACTTAGAATCCATGGCCAAGTATGGTGCCACACCACCTGTGATCTGCTACTGGAGAGGCTGAGGCTACTAGAATCCCTGAATTTGGGTGTTTGGAGCTTCAGTGACTTAAAGCAGTGAGGTCTGCATCAGCATGGTGAGCAAGCCCCTGAGAGGACCACCAAGCTGCCTAATGAGGAAGACTGGCTCAGGTCAGAAAATGTGGGTCGAAGCTACCAGTCAGCAATGGGAATGGGCCCAGGCTGCTGCAAATACACTTCTGGCCTTGGGTCAGGGACAGGGAGGAGACACAGGCTTTAAAAAAAAAAAAGGTTTCTGTCTTTTCCAGCCTCTAGGTGAACTTTTACATAACACTCGTATGAAATAAGGACTTGCCAAAGGGAAATCAGTGGGAAGCATTAGGTTTGGAGTCAGAGGACCTGGGTTCTGCCAACAGAAGAATCAGCCTGGGTGATGACAGACATGTAACTCCCCTCTCTGGGACACTTGAGTTTTTTTCACCTGATGAATAAGGGTGTTAGACTGAATGTGCTCACGGTTTGACAGTAAGATCCAAGTCCTGTGCAACCCATGTAACCCAAGCTCACTCCCACTCGCCACTTCTAATGTGAAGCCCAGGCTCATCCACAGCCGTTTCCCTCAGTGCTGTGAGGGCTGAGCAGAGAAGAGATGAAAGTGCATCACAATAGCTCCTAACTTCAGCTCCTCGATTGTTTGCAGTCCAGACACAAAGCAATAATGCTCTCTCAACAGTACACTTTATGTAATCTCTGTTGAGCCAAATTACTTTCCCCTAACAGTGTGGGATTTGGGCAACAAGATAAAGCAAGGGTATCTCAAGATCAAAGAAAATTACATCTCTAGTACAACTTAGAAAGTTTTGGAAAAAGCATTAAAAAGATCAATGATCCCCCATCCTGCACTCCATTAATTGTTAGCAATGGCATGAAAAGAATAGCCTTAACTCAGCCTCAAAAGATTATAGAAATTATAAAGAACTCCTGGATTTTCCATTAATAGCTAGTAATGAACATATTCCTCCACAAATTTCTGTAAATCCTTCTTGAGCCTATTAAATGTTTTCATTCTACTCAAGCACTTAGGATAATAGATTCCATATGTGAATGCTTCTCTCCACCAAAAAACAAAAACCCAAAACCAAAAAAAACCCCACCTCAATTCCTCTTGGATTCAAGGGGACATCTCCTACTTTCAGTATTAGGGGATTTGGTTCACACATCTGGCCTCTATTGTGGAAATTTAATACCTTCAAACTTCAGCTTCAACCAACACACTATCTTCCTTAGGGCTGGAAGTGATACAATGATTAACTGAGACTGGATTCCTGCCCTCATGGAACATATAATCTACTTAGAGGGATACAAGAAATCAATATGTAACTGTAATAACAAAATATATGAGAGATATAAATACCAAGGAGGCAATGAGGTGGCCAAGAAGATAGAGTGCTGGCCTGGAGTCCAGAAGATCTGAGTTCAAATTCGACCTCAGACACTCACTAGCTGTGTGAGCCTGGTTACTTAGCTGCTGTTTGCCTAAATCCAATGGAGAAGGAAATGGCGAACCGCCCCACTATTTCCGCCAAGAAAACCTCATGGACACTGTCACCCACGGAATCACAGAGAATGAGATACAAATGAACAAGAACAAGTACTAAGGGGGAGAAAAGACAATCTGCTTGTTAAGCAGCAACTATGTACCAACCAACGTCCTGGGAGTGCAAAGGAAGGCAGACACAGTCTCTGCTCTAAAGGATCTCTGCTCTAAAGGAATCAGTCTGACAACAGGCAGAGAAGAACCTCTACTGACTGTGTGTGTGTGTGTGTGTGTGTGTGTGTGCGTGTGCGTGTCTGTGTGCGTGCGTGTGCGTGTGTCTGTGTGCGTGTGCGCATGTGTGTGTGCGCGCGCGTGTGTGTGCGTGTGCGTGCGCGTGTGCGTGTGTGTGTGCGCGTGTGCGTGCGTGTGCATGTGTGCGTGGAGGTGGGTTGGAATCAGGATTAGGAAAAGGTAATATTTCAATTAGACCTCAAGCAATTAGAAAACACTGAATACGTGGAGAGTGCCTGGTATTCTAGATCTAAGAAATATGTTGAGAAAAGGTCCTAAAAATGATCCAACCATTCTGGAGAACAATTTGGAACTATGCCCAAAGGGCTACAAAAATGCGCATAACCTTTGACCCAGCAATAGCACTTCTAGGGCTGTATCCCAGAGAGCTCACACAGATGGGAAAAGGACCCACGTGTACAAAAATATTCATAGCAGCTCTTTTTGTGGTGGCAAAGAATTAGAAATTGAGAGGATGCCCATCCACTGGGGAATGGCTGAGCAAGTTGTGGTATATGAATGTAATGGAATACTATTGTGCTATAAGAAATGATGAATAGGCGGACTTCAGAAAAACCTGGAAAGACTTGTATGGTCTGATGCTGAGTGAAGTGAGCAGAACCAAGAGAACGTTGTACACAGTAACAGCCGTGTTGTGCGATGACTAATATTGATAAACTTAACCCTTCGCAGCAATACAAGGATCTAAGACATCTCCAGAGGCCTCGTGATGGAAAATGCTACCCACATCCAAAAAAAGAACTGTGAAAGTTGAATTGCTATTCTTTTTCTCTTCTGTTGAGTTTCGTTTCCTCTTTCTGATGGTTCCTCCTATTGGTTTTAATTTTTACTTACAACACCACTAATGTGAAAATGTTTACTAGGAATGTCAATGTATAGTCTATATCAGATAGTGCACCATCTTGGGGAGGGTGGTGGGGAGGAAGGGGGGGAAATTTTAAACTCAAAAGCATATGGAAGTGATTATTGATAAATCGAAATAAATTAATAAAATTTAAAAAAAAGAAAGAGAGAGAGAAAAGGTCCTAAAGACCTAAAGAAAAGATGCTGGCTGAGGCTGGATCCTGAGCAAACCTGAATGGACCGTAATGAAGAACCATCAGTTGTGGCACAGAGGCTGGTGAATGAGGTCTCATGGAATCTCCCATCAATGGGCTCTCAGGAAGAGTAAGTGACCTAATATGGCTATTGTGTAGACCACGTGGAGCTGGATCCTATGAAACAAGGCAGGAAAGGGGTGTCTCCAAATTGGTATAGGAACTTGCATTTAGCTAGGTAGTCTGAACTTTATTCAGTAGGCTATGTAATTCAGAACAGCAGAAGGATTTTGAGCAAAATAATATGCTTGGATCTATGCACAAGCAGAATTCATCTAGGGTAGCAACAAATGTATTATACGGAGAATGACTGATCAGGAAACTGCAATAGTTAATATGAAGTTCATAAGGTCCTGAACTAGGAAACTGGCTATGGGAATAGACATCAGGGATTATACATGAAGGAAATCATGAAAGGTAAAGAAAAAGGAAAAATCAAAAGAGAGCACCCAATCCGCTGAATAAAGATGTCACTATTAGAAAAAAGTCAGAAACAGAAAATTGTTTTGGGGTAAAGAAAATAAACTTGGTTTGGGAAGAATTGCACTCAAAGTGATGGTACAGATGTTTTCTTGGCTAACCGGATGCAAGTCTAGAGCTTAAAGGGAAGGCAGAGATGAAAATACATATTTGGATGTAATCTGCACAGAAGTGACAATTAAGGAAATGACGACTGAGAGAAAAGATGCTGGCTGAGGCTGGATCCTGAGCAAACCTGAATGGACCGTAATGAAGAACCATCAGTTGTGGCACAGAGAGGCTGGTGAATGAGGTCTCATGGAATCTCCCATCAATGGGCTCTCAGGATACAACTTGCCCAATTCACAAATCCCAATGAGCTGCTTCTCAGGCACTTTCCTGACAAGCAGCCACAGAGACTAGTCTCTACCTGAGCACATGCAGTGATTGGTAACTGGCTACCAATCCAAGAAGTTCAATGAACTTCTGGACAACCGGAATGGTTCCTTACATAAATCTAAAACTTAACTGCTACTCACTGTTCCTATGTATGGTAGAGGCACTTTGTCACGGTGGACCTGCCTTACAAATGTTCAAGATTTATTCTGATTTTGAGAACCACCAACATACGCTCTTTCAGGCAAAGGGAGTTGATCATATCTAGAATAATCAACAGTTAAAATTGATAATTTCTGTAGAAGAGTAGGAACAGAAGGCAGATAGCAAAAGGTACAGAAAAAAAAGAGAAATGAAGGCATACAAGGTACACAAACATATTAAGAAGTATGGTAGTTATTAAAGTTGAGAGTGAAAAAACCCACTTGGTTCAGAGAGTTTTTTAGGTCTGAGGAGACCTAAACATGCTGCTACACAGAAGAGGAAGACAACATAGAGTACAAAGGTGGTACAGGGCAACAGGAAGATGACAGATATACCAAGGATTAGCCCTAGTACAAAGTAGAGGGCAAAGGAAAGGAGAGAATGAGTGAAGATGCTGGGAGTTTAAGAAGGGAAATGAGGGAAGTCATGGGCTTCAGTCTTTGTGGAAATAGGGGTCAGGATGCACTGCTGGGAGCAACAGGTCAGGTAATGAAGCTTTTAAGCCCAAGCAAAGATGAAACAGTCCAAGTAGTTAGTTGGATCATAAGACAAGGATTCAATGAGCATTGAATAAATAGGATTCCTGCAAAGCAGTGAGGCCTAATACTATCCAAGGCTGGTTTAACAGATTATGTCCTCTGGTATGAAAAATGTAGTCAAATACTATTCAAACCATGTTATCTTGTCTGTAACAGGGAGATTATGCTCATTAACATACTGATGGGTCTTACACATGTTAGAGATGTCACAGGACTTAGAAACATCTTATTGGCTTTGGTTGAAAGCAAAACTGGAAAACAAAGTAGAAAATGCCCTCCTAGAACAGGAATTCTAAAATAATGACAAAGTGCACAGAACAATGGGCCTGGAGTCAGGAAGACCTGAGTTCAAATCTGGCCTGAGACACTGACCAGCTGTGTGACTCTGGGCAAGTCAATTTACTCATTTGACTTAAGTTTCCTCATCTATGAATTGGGATAATAACAGCACTTACCACTCAGGAATGCTGTGAGGATCCAATGAGATAACATGAAAAGCATTTTGCCAACCTTAAATCACTATGTAAATGCTAGCTATTACTAATATTGCATTTTAAATAGGACATGAGGTCACCACAATAAAAATGGAATAATTACCCCTTGTAGTCCCTGAGAGACTTTTCAGTGAAGTATCCTCTAAAACTGAGCATCCAGACTGTGCGACAATGGACGGATCACAATAAGATTCCTGGGGGGGGAAAGTGCTGATTAAGGTCTACTTCCTGGAAAATATCAAATAAGCAAATGCTGATTTCTTGTCCAATCTGGCCAAAATACCCATGTTTTCAATTCGATCTTAAAGTGGTACCTGGGCACGGGCACTGTAACAGCTAAGCTCTCTGCTGTACTCTAAACAGCCAAAGGGGAGCTTTTCAGTTTCCTGAGTCAAATTTAGATGACAAATATCCATTTTCTAGTCACCCCATTTCTCCAAAGCAGGGTCTTTGGCAACCTCTAGAACTGGCCAAATTTTGCTCAACGATAAGATCCATGTTAAGAGATGTTATATAATAAAACATGGCTACACTGTCAGAAATGAATTCTTAAACTGTGGCCTTATTCTTCAAAATTCATCAAGATCCTAGGATAGAAATCTTATTTTCACCAAATGCAATGATTTTTAAAAATATGAAAAGCTCTATTTCATTAAAGAAGGCCTCCTTTCAGATGGTCCATCTGCTGTAATTAAAACAATGGAACCATGTGAAAACCCAAGGGTACCCACTCAGCAGCCACACCCAGCAATACCACCCCTCCCCACCACCAGCACCAGCCGCATCATATACGACTGCCCTAACAAGCTAAGCAGAAAGGGAAGCTCTACTTAAATCAACAACCATCAAGGCCCGATGTGTCCTTTTTCAGGTAATTTTACCTTAGAATGAGCTGTCACAGAAGTTTCACAGGTATAAGTTTGGCTTGTGTCAGGAAAAGTAGTAATATGGCATATCTGGATGTCAGTCAACTTTTTTTCACCATTAGCTATATTTTCTTTTAAGTCTCTCTGGTGAGACGCTCGCCTGCGCTTGGATGGTAACTCTCCACACAGCTTGGGCTGGTCACGACGTTTGAGGCTTTTGTTCTTAGCTGAATTCCAGATGGGGGGGTAAAAAAGACAGTTTTAAAATCATACAATTTACCCTTGAAATTTTTAAAATATTCTACATATAATTCTGAATATTTTGTAAAGTTAACAAAATTATTAAAAAGTTATCTTAAAAATTAAATCATTTCAAAATACTGTAAAAAAAAAAAAGATGAAAGGCAAATGTAATGAAATCCGGTAACTCAGGGCTATATATACACTTCAAACAGATTCTAATACTAGTCCTGCCTTTTACTGAAGGGCTCTTCAGCAGATTTATCTGGTGAGGTAACTTCTCAATTCAGAAAACCTCAGCGGTTTCTTGAAGCAAACAGTTCACACTCAGGGTCAGTCTCCACAAACTGCAACCATCATGCCCTGTGCAGTCTTTCAAGACAGACCATCACGACTCAGCCCGAATAGCTCCCTCAGTATGATGGTATCCAGTAATGGCCTCTGCCACATTCATCACACACACTAGTACCTAGGCCCACTTTCTTCCCCTGCTGTACATTTGAAATTCTGGCACATATTCTACTGCCCAAATCAAATGAAATTTAACAAAAGCCACCCCTGATTTCCTGTCAAAACAGCCTCATTTATCCCGACTGCTTATTTGTCACACGGGTATTGGGCAGAAGGGGACTGGTGACAGGGACAGAAAGAAGAAAAAGACAGAGCAGCCTAAAATAGGGTCATAGAAGCATTTTTTAAAAATGCACAGAACAGATGACAGGCCAGAAATTATCAGAGACAAGGGGGACAGCTTTGAAAGTTACCTGTTAAATTTACTTTACACTTAAAAAGAAAAGCAAGCTGTATATGACACTTAAAAGTTTCATATGACAATTCTCTTATGTTTTACTATGTATGCAAAAATTAAAATTCTCTGCATTTTTATAAGTCCCTCTACTTCACAATAAATTGGGTAATAATAGACATATTAGCTAAGCTTTGTATTTATAGCACCTCCTAAAACAGCAGGCATTTAAAAAGGGTTTTTTTTGCTTAATTTAATTAACCTTGATAGGCTATATTATAATCCAGTTATTCTTATCTTAAAGGAATTCTGTCATCAGCAAATCTTCTATAATCATATAAATGACCTATTAGGTCAAAAGCACTGAAACACAGTTGAGAAAGAGGTAAAAACTAATAAAAAAAATCATAAATGTGAATGGGTAATGTTCGTCTCAGAATGTATGCTCTGGAAGAAAAGGCCTCAATTTTTATTGACTTCTATTAAAATGTATCATCATAATGCTATATATTTGTATTTGAGGATGGTTCCAAGCAATTGTTGGAATCTAACCCACTAAGGCTATATCACCATGACAACAGGCACAGTAATGTCAAGTTAATTTTCCTTTTCCACAGCTTTTGTGATTCCACAATTAAAAATGACCACTGGTTTATTAGCAGAGTTTAAAAGCTGAGGTGAGGGATGATATATGATCATAAAAAATTTTTTTTAATACAATGGGGCAAGCAGCTCAGGCCTCAATATTTTCTGAGTTTAATGGACAAACAGGATTGCTTCAGAACAGGAAGCTGATGGGCAACTCAAAGTACTCAGAGCAAGTATTCATCAAACACATTTTTATGCCAGGCACCATAGTTTATAATTTATTTTGAATAAAAATTTTGAGCAAAATTGATTTTGTTTACTTACTGCAGTCTGCTGCTTGAAATTCTCCCTCTGGCCCTGAATGTCCAGACTCTCCTTCGTTTTCCTTTACTGGGTGAAAAGCAGATTGGAAGGCAGAAATTCGCTCTCTTAACGAATCACCATTTCTGTATCGAAATGGGCTGGCCTGCTAAAGTATATGAAGAATAGAATAGGTCAATCCAAAATACAAATCCTATATTCTATACCTAAAAAACTGTACCATTTAAACACTAAATACTTAGATATATATAATGATAAATAATTGTATTAAATTCAGAAGACTCTATTAATATAAGTTCATTGAACAAGTAAATGAATGCTTTCCTTCCTGGAAAATGTATTTGTTTGAAAATATCCTACGTGCAGCCTTCTTCCCCAGACACAAAAACCTCCCTCCATATGAGCCAAAGGGCTATTTGCAAAGATGAACACAAAAGTTGTTGGTAACACACTACCTAATTAAACCAGAGTATTTTAAACAACTCAAAATTTCATCTAGGTTAGGACATAACTCACTTGACATATTTGACACAATCCAAAAAAATTTCTAGGTTCAGCTGATGTTTAAAAAAAAAAGCAGAAACAGCAATCAAGATCTCAAAGTTAAAGCTAAAATACATTTAATTAAAAGAGATAAACAGGGAAACTACACTACATGTCAACAATATCATTCAATATTGTTTTAGAGCACTTAAAATAGCCACAGACAGTATAAAATACCTGACAGTATGCCTGCCAAAACAGATCCAGGAACTATATGAACATAAATTATAAAACATTTCTTACTAATAAAGTTAAATTTAAATAACTAGAGAAATGTTGTTTATAGATAGGGCAAAGCCAACATAATAAAAACAACAATTTTACCTAACTAATCTATTTATTCAATGCCATCCCAATTACTAAAAAAAAATTTACTGAGTTAGAAAAAAATAACAAAAGTCTTTGTTAGAATAAAAGGTCAAAAATTTCAAAGAAACTAATAAAAAATGTAATGGAAGGAGGTACCAGACCTTAAACTATATTATAAGGCAGTAAATACCAAAATTTCTGGTACTGGTTAAGAAATATAAAGGTATATCAGTGGAACAGAACAGACATATGACTATAGCAGACTATGACAGAGCAAAGGACTATAGTAACGTTGTGTTTGAAAAATGTAAAAATTTAAGTTTTAGGATAAGAATGCATTATTTGGGTAAAAATTGTTGGGAAAGCTAGAAAGCAGTACGGCAGAAATTGGGCCAATATCTTACACCACGTACCAAAGATAAAATCAAAAGTGATACGTGATCTAGATATAACGGGAGACACCACAAGAAAATCAGAACATGGAACTTATCTATCAGACTCATGGATAAGAGAATACTATATGAAGAAACAAGATAGAGAGCACTGTAAAGTATAATTTTGGTTATATTAAATTAAAAAGTTATTACACAAATGAAACCAATGTAGCCAAGATTAGAGGGAAAGCAAAAAACTGGGGGAAATTTTTCAGACACTCTCTCAGATAAAGGTTTCATTTCTCGAATATATAATGAACTTGATCAAATATATAAGAATATAAGTCATTCCCCAATTGATAAATGGTCAAAGGATATGATGAAATCAAAATATAGTCACATGAAAAAAATGTTATAAATCAAATTAGAGAAATGAAAATTAAAACAACTTTGAGATATCATCTTATACCTATCAGATTGGCTAATATGATAGCTGCATTTCAAGGGGGGAATGGCTAAATGGGTTGTGATATATGATTGTGATGGAATACTACTGCACTATGAGAAAGGATGAGCTGGTTGATTTTAGAAAAACATGGAAAGACTTGGATCTATGAAGGAAGATGCTATCCACCTCTAGAGAAAGAACTGACCAACAGAAATATGGATAGTATGGTTTTACATAAGTGGAAATGTATTGTTTTATATTGAATCCTCTCTATGGTCTGGCTGTATACATGGAAATGTTTTTTTTTTCTTTTCTTATTTTGTATTTTAGTTTAAAATGAATAAAAAAAATTTTTTAAAATTAAAACAAAATCTTTCCATGCCTCATTCTGTATATTTTTTCTATCTTTTTGAGAATTAAAAGGAGTTTATTATGTCAAGGTAACAACACATTGACAAGCCGATCACTGAAGATCAGCCCTATCTATTTTAAACAAGAAATCATTTACAAAGGCTCTATACAATGAGCTAGAGACTGAGTTCTTATTATCTGTATGTTTTAAGGATAACACATTTAAGGATAATACATTTCTAAAACGTTTCGTGATTCTACCAAAATGACTAAGGCATCTATTTACCTCCCTCCAAAAAAACCATAAGCTTTTAAAAAGCACTTCAATGAAAAACAAAAACTTTTTTTCAAGATGTGGAATGCCCACAGTATTGTTCGTTTTAGAAAAAATTTGGTCTAAAATCTCTTAAAAGTTGCACTATGATATTTAGTATCATTAATTGTAGGCATGCAAAAAAAAAACTTATTACAAATGATTTTATAAAGGTTCTACCACTGGCAAAATTTGATAATCAGTGGTTCAATGTGGAACCAGCTGACAACATGAAATGAGGCTTGGCCTAAGAGTGACTGAATATTAGGCTACAAATCCCAAAAGGAGAAGGGGAGAGGAGATAGGAACACCATCCCCTTCTTGTGATTTTCCCAGTCTCATAGCCCCACGTTTTCATCTGTATGTGTCTTTATCACAATGTAAGAATTCCCCCACTTAAAGCGAAATGTCTATTCTACATCCTAAATCCAAGTGCCCAGGTGCTCAAAGCTTCGGCAACAATCTGGGGATGTGATAGGGGATGGCGAACAGGGATTAGGATTGGATGTGTGATGTTCACTTCTATATGAAACTCCCCATTCTACAACTGAGGGGTTAAGTGACTTGCCCAGAGTCACAAAGCCAGTGATCTTTGAACCCAGGTCTTCCTGGCACAGGAGGCTAGCTCTCTAGCCACTGAGCCATACCTCCTCCAAGTTCAAGACAGTAAACATAAGATAAGGCAATATCAATAAGTAATTTGGTCAAGTGCCTGGAGCTGAGTTAGCAAATGTTTTCAAAGCTCACAAATGAAAATGATACATGCAAAATATATCTCTTCTTTGAAGACTATAAGGAGACACCCAAATTTGGCGTTAGCCAGACCATTTTCTGTTTTTGTTAAGCCTTTTTCCCAACAGCTGCTTTTGATAATCTTAGCGATTTCAGAAGTGTTCCATGCTCTGCATTGTATGGATAATGATTTGTTAAGAATCACAGAACACTGAAACCAAGAGGAATTGGAAGAAACCATTTAGTCGAGACCCCTCCTAAGGCCCAGCCAGGGGAAGTGACACACATGGCTGGGACCCCTCAACCAGATTTACTGTCTCCCAGTGCAATAGAAAGGTGGGAAAAGCAAGGAAAAATGGACACCAACTCCATGTGATGTGACTTTTGATTTTAGCTAAAGGATTTACATGAAAGAAAAAAGAATGCATAGAATTATTTATAGATCTGAAGCTCAATTCTTTTTCCAAGGTTTCTGCCTGCAATGGTAAATAAAAAATAAACAAATAAAAGAATATTTATATAGAGTAATGGACAAAAAACCCTATACAATTTCTTCACATCTTCTTTCTCATCTGGACAAATGAGCTTCTATAATGCATTAAAATACTTCCCTAACATTCTCCCTCAACCTTATTTTCTTGATTTCTATTCTTTTCAAAAAAATGTAATTACTCTAATTTTCCATTTCTATTTTAAGTTACAATACACAAACAGTATTTTTCCAATGACAGCAAATACTAAACACAAAGTTCTATTAAGCTTTCAAATTACCTCCCATTAGGTTCTAGAGTGGAAGAAGAGCAGTTAAAATCTGGGTGCCATTTTTGTTGGTGATCTGTTCACACACTGAATTTACTTTTAGTCAAATGTGCTCATAAAGCAAGGTTGCTACTACCAAATCAGTAGGACATTTTAAATTCAAATAAGGTCGTACACATTTATGATGTAAACTATACCTTTATGACACACATATTAAATACCAAAAACAGGCAAGCCAGTATTCTCAAGGCTTAAGTAATTTTTACTAATGGAGGGGAACAAACACATACTTCAGAATTCTTATTGTTGATCTAGAATGCGCTTTTCTATATAGATTTGACTATGACTAAGTCTGTATTCTCGAGAAATTGACAGCATTTGAAGCAAAACAATGAAACTAGAGACTGAAAAAGGAGCTATAACATGGTGGTGATTTCTCTTCTGAAGGACCTACTAAGAAGCCTGAGCTCTTCACATTTTCTTTCCAAATAACTGTTCCTACCTCCCCAGCACTGAAGGTGCTTGGGACAAAGAAGCCTCTTCAGACATACAGAGGGTTGCTAAGGTCCTTTCTACCTCCAAGATTCTATTCTAGAATTCTGTACCCCCTACACCTTCCTAGGTCAGCAATCCTCTCAGTGTGGGGATTCCTGTCTATTGGAAGATTGCAACCCAGTCACAACTTCTTGTGGCATTTTTTTATTTGGAAAAAAAAAGCTGTTTATTTGGTTAAAGTAATTGGTAATATTAGTGTATTTAAAGTTTATTTTTTAAATTTTTTTTTAAGTGAGGCGTTTGGGGTTAAGTGACTTGCCCAAAAAGTCACACAGCTAGTATGTGTCAAGTGTTTGGTCTGAGGCTGGATTTGAACTCAGGTCCTCCTGACTTCAGGGCTCATGCTCCACCCACTGCACCACCTAGCTGCCCCTAAAGTTTATTATTAAAGTATCAGATGGATTTTACAAAAATTCAGTACTTAATAGAAAAAAAAATCAGTATGTTATTTTATATCTTTAAACTTCTTATACTGTCTTAGGCCTCTGACAATGTCAATCACCCTCTTCTTGATACTCTCTTCCCTCTGAGTTTTTTTCTACTTAATTTATTTTTAGTTTTCAACATTCACTTCTGTAAGATTTTGAATTTTAAATTTTCTTCCCCTCCGACTTCTCCCTTTCCAAGATGGCGTGAAATCTGACATAAGCTCTGCTTTTGCATTCATATTATACATATTTTCACATTAGTCATGATGTAAAGAATTAGAACTAATGGGAGGAACCACGAGAAAGAAGAAACAGAACAAAACAATAAGAGGAAAGGAGAGCAAACAGCACACTTCCATCTGCATTCAGACTCCATAGTTCTTTCTCTGGGCATGAACAGCATTTTCCATCCTGAGTCTTTTGGAGTTGTCTTAGATCCTGGCATCGCCGAGAAGAGCTAAGTCTATCAAAGTCAATCACTGTACAACGCGGCTGTTACTGCATACAATACTCTGCTCATTTCACTCAGCACCAGTTCACATAAGTCTTTCCAGGTTTTTCTGAAGTCTACCTGCTCATCATTTCTTTTCTTGTAGCATTTTTACCCATTCCCTTTAAAGGAGGGATAGGAGAAAATCCATAGCCAAGAGGCTAGAAGCTTTCTTTCCTTTAGACTTTTAACACTCCATGGGTACAGGGGTAGCATGTGAGGGGTTCCTTACTCTCATTTGTGACTGATTGGTTTTTGGATGTTCCCTGGCTTGGACATCCCTTAGAAATGCAGGCTACAACCTAACCTCAGCGGTATACCAACGCCATTATCATCCAGGTTTTCTTTCAAATTGATCATAAGGAATTTAACTGAGGTACTAGAATTGCAGGATGGGGGTAGGGGTAACATTCCTCACATTCTCCACATAGCAAGGATAACAATGGAGCACTTGTCCCACAGGACAAGTCCATGTTAGTGGCTCAATCATAGATTTTTCTGATCATAACCTTTAACATCATTGCAACTAAGTTATTCCTCACAATATGTTACAACTTTAACAAACCCATCATAAATGCCTCTTCACGGCCCTTGGGGTCATCCTTGACTTCAAGTTTTGGGGAAGGGGTAGTGTTTTAAACCACTTCTTGCAGGTAAATTACCATTATCAATATCTTGAAGCCTACTTATGTCTACATGTCTTTCCATTGCTCTCTGATTCATTGGCAAGAGCCTAGCACATTGCTTGGGTCTTAATAAACATTTATTAATTGGGTAATTTGATACTCCAAAACTTAGTGTTTCACAGCCACATGAAATCATTAAAAATACTGATGCTAAAATGATAGACTTTTCGATTCTAAGGCTTCAACCTTCTACCTCACAAATTGCCAAATAGTTATAGAAATAGTCCATCAGCCACTGACTAACTAGCATTAAATACCTACTGTGTGCCAGCCACTGTATTATAGCCTGGGATACAAGGAAAGGCAAAAAACAGTCCTTGCTGTCAAGGAGCTCAGTCTTTTAATGGGAGAAACAACATGCAAACAAGGGTATAAATAAGACACATAACAGGATAACTTGGGGGCGATATCAGCGGGAAAGGCTTTTTGCAGAAAGCTGGATTGTAGCTGAGACTTTGAACGAGGCCAAAAGGCAGAGACAAGGAGGGAAAGCGCTCCAGACAGTGGACACAAGCAATGAAAGTTCCTGAGGAGAGCAGATGGGAGCACCTTGTGTGAAGGACAGCAAGGAGGCTGGTGTTACCAGATTGCAGGGGATTAAAGAGTTAAGAAGAATGAAATGAAAGGAAGGGGCCATTTTATGAAGGGCTTTTGAAAGCCAAACAAAGGACTTTATATCTGATCCTAGAATCAACGGGAAGCCACAAGATTTTGTAGAATGAGGGCTGGGGGTCAGACCTATGGTTTTGGAAGATGAATGGACACTGGACTAGAGTGGGGAAAGACTCGAGGCTGGAAGACCAACTAGCAGGCTACTGTAACAACAGTCTGGGTGTGAGGTGATGAGGGCCTACACCAGGATGGTGGAAGCATTAGAGAAGGGCGTCTATATGAAAAATGTTACGAAGGTCAAATTGATGGGCCTTGGCAAAAGACTGGATGAGGATGATGGTGGTGAGAATGAGGAGTCAAGGATGACTTCTAGATTGGCAGCCCAGGTGGCTGGGAAAATGGTGGTAGCTTCAGTAACAGGGAAGTTAGGAAGAGGGGAGAGTTTAGGAGGCAAAAGCAATGAGTTTAGTTTTTGACACGGTAAGTTTAAGATGTCTGTTTATGTGACATTCAGTTTGAGGTGTCTAAAAGGCAAAAGATGATATGAGACTGGAGATGAGGAAAAAAGAGTTAGGCCTCAACAAGTAGATCTAAGAATGATTTATTATTATATCTATTATGTGCCAAGCAATGTGCTCATTAGACCTGTAAAAAGAGAACTAGGAGAAAGAACAGTCATGAAAAGCAAGAAGAGAGAATCAGGAAGAGGACTGAGAAAAGGCTATTAGATTTGGCAATTAAGAGATCATTAGTAACTAAGGAGAGAGCAGTTCTGGCTGAATGACATCAGAAGCCAGAATGCAAAGAAAAAGAGTAAGATGAAAGGTAATGGAGTCACCTATTATAGACAGCCTTTTCAGGAAGTTTACTAATAAAAGGAAAGGGAGACACAGGACAACAGCTAGCAGGGATGGACAGATCCAGCGATGATTTTTTTTTTTTAGAAGATGGGGGAGACAAGTTTATGTATGTTGTAGGTAAATAGGAATACTAACATAGCTTCTGGTGGAGCTATTAATTGGTCCAAACATTCTGGAAAGCAATTTAGAATTATGCTGTGACTAAAATGTCCATTCCCTTTGACCCAGAGGCCCTACGGTGCTCACTACCACCTCCCCAATATTCAAGCAGCACTTTTTGTGGGCCCTTCTAGAAACGGAGTAGATGTCGATCGGTCAGGTAATGGCTAAACAAATTGTGATACAAGAATGTAAGAATACTACAGCATCATGAGAAATAATAAGCAAAATGTGAGAACAGGATGTTTTCTACGAATTAATAATGCAGAGTGAAACTAAGCAGAATTCAGAAAATATATATAATAGAAATGAAAATAATCAAAAATAAAAATCATGAAGCTGAACACTGTACTTATAAAGACGAAGCTTATCTCCACAGAGAGGAGAAAATCCGCCTTTCTCCCTTCTTGGCAGAGGAGGGGGCATACGAGTACGGAACACAGTATCTGCTAGCAGATGAGACTGACATGTTTAGTTAGTTCTGCCTAATTTGCTTTTTCTGTTTGATTACCAAGGATGACCCAACAGGTAGGAAGAACAGAATTTGAAAAATGCTACCAATAAAAGCGTGAAACTAAAGAGACGTCAGAGGACAGCGATCCCAGGAAGGAATGTGAAGTTTCCCAAGGGCCAACTAAGGTGTTCTTTCCCATTTCATACATGTTTCTGGTTGACCTCTGGGCCATCTGCGGGGTGTATCCAAGATCCAGGGAATGACAGCATCACGAGCTCAGTGGGCCACCCACCAGATGAATGTAACCCCAATAGTGGATTTTCTCGCTCTCACTCCTCCTCTCTCCAATCAGATTCCTTTGTATCGCTTCCATTTCTCTTCTGTTCTCTCCACTGTTTCGGGTCATCGTCACCTCTCATCTGAACTGCTGCAGCAGCTTCGTACCTGGTCTTTGCCCTGCCCCAGCCCCCCACCCCCACCATCATACGGCACCAGAGAGAGTCATCGCCAGTCTAGTTCTGAGCACGCCATCCCCTGCTCACGATGCTCCCTAACCCTTCTCTGCCATGATTCCCTCTGGCTGTGTGGCAAAGTCAGATCCCCTTTCTCACAATGTTCTTACAGGTACAAAACACAGAGAATAAGCAGAAAAATTCAAGGACTTCCCGGGCCCAGCCCACCTACGCGGTACTCCCTTCCCCATGCTCTTCATTCTGCGTCTCCTGATCTGCTGCTTGTCCTTATCCATTTTCCCTCCTAGCTTCATGCCTTTAATCCCTGCTACTTGGTAGGATGTGAGGCCTGATGCCCCCAGCTGCTAGTGCTCCCCCAGTACGCCCTCCCCTCATTATCTTGTATTTACTTGGGATCTATTTCGTACTTAACTCACATCCATACATGATATGCGCGCACACACACACACACGCACACACACGTGGTATCTCTCATTCAACAATTCTCTGCTGATAAACAGAAAGGCATGTAATGATTGTCACATATAAACAGGATCATGGAGTATGCCCTACATAGATTCCCAATGGAAGAGGGGATTCTCAGTGGGCAGTAGGGATGCAATGGTGTTTCTTACTGCAGGTGTACTCACGGGCCATTGAGACTTAGAAGCATTCAGGAGAGGAGAACAGTTCTAAAAACCAGCAAGCATTTATTAAGTGTTGAAATGTGCCGGGCACAGTGCTAGACTCTGGGGACAGGAAGAACGAAGGCCAACAAACAGTCCTTGCCATTGATGAGCTTACGATCTAGACTGTGAAACAGGAAGCACCAGTGGGTCCCTACTTCTTCCACTGGGAATCTGTGTAGGACATACTCCCCTATCTTACCTCTACGTGGCCATCATCATGTGCCTTTTTGGCTATCAGCAGAGAATCACTGAATGAAGGATCCCACATTTACACAAACATCAACAAGCTAAAGACTTACTGTAGGCCAACTAAGTACATAATGTACATTAGGGAATTTGCAGGACATGAAAAAAGTGGTCTCTGCCCATAACCAGAATGCGTGAAAGAGGACAGAACAGAACGGAGACCATTTACGTTCTTTTCTCACAAATACATCATTTCAAGAACTTATAAAAAAACACATACCTGTATTGAAGGAGAAGCCTCCACCAAAGGAGAATCATTTGCATTTTTTAAATTCCTTTGCTGAGCAATGTATCTAATGAGAAGATTTGTTTCAGGAGAACCTCTGACTCCAATTGTGGATCGGCGCCTGGATTTTTTTAGCAAGGATTTTCCTGGAATGAAAATTTTCTTACAGTTTAGGAAATGTCGTGGAAAAAGTACTCAATAGTTAGCATGTTTTAATGAAGCTTATTATGTTTAAAGTTCTAGTAGTAAATAATCTATGGAGTTTTAATGGACATTTCTGCCCCTATTTTCTACACATGAAGAATACTGGGCTTGCCCAACTCAATAATTTATTAAGTATCTACCACATCTGGTGCTGGGGATACAGAAGAAAGTAAAATAAGTTCCTGAAAGAAAAAAGGGTCAGTGAAGCATTTCTTTTTAAATGCACAGAAGACAGAAGGCCAGAAAGAATCACAGATAAGCAGGACAACTTTGAAAGTTATATAGTGAATTTATTATATATTGAAAAGCCATAAAAAGGAGAGGTTCCTAGTTTCAAGAACCCTTTTCCTGTACTAATATGTGGAGAGAGAGAGAGAGATGCTTATTTTAGTGTTTGCTAGTAATTTTTTTAAAGTAAAAAAAAAGTTACTTTCTCCTTCACAGTCTGTTTATTGGTCAGTCAGGTCTTATTCACTTGAAAATGTGTACACTGGCTAGAAAAAAATTCTTTGGCACATGTAAATTTCTGGTCAAAGAATAAATTTTTAAACACGTCTACCTGGATTTGCTGGTGAGGCATGCCTATCTACTCCATTATTACACAGGATGTCCCAAAAGTCTTAGTGCACTTTAAAACCAAAGCTCTAATCTTTAAAACTGTGTAAGACTTTTGGGATACCTTGTATTTATACATAAAAAAAATACAAATGCAATCAATTCATACAACATCTTTACTTGGAAAAACTTCCTTGAATTTGTCTAGTCAAACCTATCACCTGTGACAAAGACATCCTTATTGGTATAAGTGAAACCACCACACTCCAAGGCAATCCATTCCGTTTTGGGAGAACTGTAAAAATTAGTTAAGTTTTTCCTTGAACAGGGGGTGAATGAATGAATGGAAAAGGACTTACTAAGTGCTTACAAGGTGCCAAGCATAGAGAGAAGCACCAGGGACAGACACAGAGATAAGCTAGAGGATTCCTACCCTCCAGGCAACTTTCTAATTAGGGGAGATAAGGCAAAGAGGAGAGCTCAGAGGCAGGGCAGACAGCAAGGTGCAAAGGAAGGGAAAGACAGCAATCATATCCACCCCACCTTCTCCCCACCCCAGGCTTCTCTCCAGGGAAAACATCAAACAACCCTACAATGGCCAGGGTTCCCATACAGACTGGCCTACAGACACTTCCAGCTGGTCCCAAAGGAGCCCAGAATGAAAACTCTCCTTTAGGAGATCAAGTGCCCCTCCTACACAAGACCTTTCCTGACCCACAAGCTACAAATTCTCTCTCCGTCCATCACCAACCCCCATTTTGTATACATTTTCCATTTACTTATTCGTGTACTTGCTTGTTTTTTCACATGACAATAGGAGTTTTCGTATGCCCAGCACAGTACTAGCCATTTGAACTGAATCTGGATGCAGACATTATCATCTAGTCCAATCTTCTTCATTTACTGAAGGCCCAAGGGCTGCAGCAGCTGGCCCAAGCATCACTCCCAGAGTGAGAGCTGAGCCGCAATCCCACAGCAGGCCTTCTGATGGCAGTGTGTCTCCATCAGACTAAGCTGACTCCGCTCAGTTCCACTCCAGAGACTATCATCAGGCTTCTTCCTGCCCACAACTGTCTTTCCTCATCCTCAACCTCCAACATGAACATTCATCTACAAACTGAACAAATTCACAAGAAATGCCAAACTGACAATCAGTCTATCAGAGAAGAGATACCTACTCTGTTGGCTTATTTTTCTCTTGACAGTGGCCTGAAAGCCCAGAGAGCCAACAGGAAAGAAGAGAATGGAAGCTTAGGCAGAGCTCAAGAGATCCGGGACGGCAGTCAGTCCTGTGGTGCTCTGCCCCAAGCAGGCCCTGGCTGGGCTCCTGGATACCACATTCAGAGTGAAACAAGGATGGTGAGGGGCCATAGGAAAATCAGGGAAGGCCTGGGCAGGGTTAGCCTGCACAAGAGGCCGCTCCCAGGCAGCATGCCAGGTCACATCCAGCTTCTGGAGAATTAGTCTTCTTGTGCTCGGCCAGAGGTCAGGGGCAGAGACAAACTGAGGCTTGATGTCAGGCAAAGCTTCCTAAGGTGCAGAGCCGTCCCAAGACAGAGTGGGCTGTCTCAAGACTCGTCCTTCAAGGTGCCCTCCTTCCTCCTCACTGCTTTATGACAGCCTCATGATTACCTAGTAAAGGATTTTTTTTCAGAGGTGGGTTGGGGACTGGGTGTCTTCTAAAATCCCTTCTGTGTGTGTGTGTGGATCACAAGACTGCATTAATTATCCTGTGAAGCCGTGAGGTCAGTCTTTCCACTTTGTTATTCAAGTGTAGCATAATCCTATTGTAACTAGATAAATGGGGTAAGAAACGATAATGAGATTTCTCTCCTTTAGGATATTTTGGGAATAATCTTCCCTTCCCGATCAGAACATAAATGCTCAAAAGACCTTCAGATTGTCCCCTTAGCTAAGATGCAAAATAAGACCTGACAAAATAGGCCTGGGCATTAGAATTAGAGCTGGGGACCATCTAACCCAACAGAGCTTCAATGTCCTGGCCAGCTAGCCTTTCACAACATATGGGAAAAAAAAGATCTAGGGGGAAAAACAAGGGTTTCAAAATGGCTGATGAACTGGGTCAGATGGCAGGGGTTTCCCACCTGCAGGCTAGCGACCACTGGAGGTACAAGAAGCTTGGAAAGAGGCTATGGGGAAGAAGTGATAACCAGGTTCCATTTATGTGCAAGAGGGTGGTAAACTCTAAAATTCCCTTTCATACTGAATACAAAACGTGAAAAGGCTTAATGCAAATCAAGGAACATCAAGAGATATGAGAGAGTGAGAGTGAGAGAGTGAGTGAGAGAGAGAGAGAGAGAGAGAGAGAGAGAGAGAGAGAGAGGGAAAGGGAGAGAGAGAGACAGAGAGAGAGAGAGAGGGAGGGAGGGAAGGAGGGGGAGAGAGAGAGAGAGAGAGAGAGGGAAAGGGAGAGAGAGGGAGGGAGAGAGAGAGACAGAGAGAGAGAGAGAGAGGGAGGGAGGGAGGGAGAAGAGAGAGAGAGAGAGAGAGAGAGAGAGAGAGAGAGAGAGAGAGAGAGAGAGAGAGAGAGAGAGAGAGAGAGAGATTGGATACCTTTGTCCTAAGTATTTCTATTTCGTCTCTTTTGAGAATTTTGCTTTTCAAAAATAGAATCAAATTAAGCAGTTAATATGTTTAGATCACTTGTACCCAAAGACATAGATATATGTGTGTGTGCATGTATACACACATGCGTACATACATGTATGCATAAGTGTATATGATTCTAAGTCTGGTCTTGCTTGCTCTTCTAATTTTTGTTCTGCAAAATATCATCACCTGGAGACAAAATACATTTTGACTTGTAACATCCTACGACTGCTCTCATATCTAAATTGACCAGACCTGGAATTGGACACATATAAGAATATTTAACATCCACTAAAATCCTACCCTTCTGCTTCAGTGAAATGTGGAGGTTACCCTGGATTCTTGAAAACTATGCCGGCAGACCGCAAGTGAGGGAAGATTCTATCCAATTCGTGTAGGCCTTATGAAACTGTCATCTGAGGATGAACTCATAGGCCAAGTTTGGAGACCAACCATCATCAGGAAGTTGACCAATAAGCTGTAAGTTCTTGCAGCCACAACGATGAAAAATGGTCACGAAATCACAAAAGAATTTGAGAGTTGGAAAGAGCTGCAGGGGCCATCCAGTCCAACCCACCCACAAAACAACATCACCACTAACCGTGCCCCGAACCCGCGCTCCACTCAGGCAGCCTGTTCCCCTGGGGGACAGCTCTTTGTTAGGAAGGCTTTCCTGACATCAAAGAAACCAGCTTCTCTGCAATCTCCCCTCCCTGCTCCTCATGCTGCACCCTGAGGTCATACAGAAAGATCCCATTTTCATCCTCTACCTGATTTCCCTTCAAATACATACCAACTGCTCACATATCCCCTTCCCAATCTTCTTTTCCAGGCCAAACATGTCTAGCTCCTTCAGCCAATCCACTGGTGACATGAGCACAAGGCCCTCTGCCATCCCAACTGACATCCGCAAAGTGCACAGAAATGACCACAGCACTCTGGAAGAGGGCTGAAGAGAGCAGAACACAGAGGCGCTATCAGCTCCCTTTTCCGGGAGGCTGTGCTTCTCAGTGCAGTCTCAAACCACCTTTCAGACTAGCACCCTGAGCTTCAAGGCCACTAAAAAGCCCAGACGTTTTCCAGAACAACAGCTATCTAACTGTATTTGATTCAACCTAATGCTCACTTGGTGTCAAGATATTTTTGGACCCTAGCTTTCGGTCCCAGTTCTATGTTATCTGCAAACTTGGTGACCACGTGGCTATTTTTCCCAGTCACTGATAAAAATGTTAAAAAGCACAGATCAAGCATAGGTAGCTGGGCAAATCCACTGGAGACCTCCTACCATGCTGACATCGAACCATTAACAACTTCTCTTTGAGAAGTTCTGAATCTGTCTACCTGTATAATCAGCGGCTAGGTGGCTCAGTGGATAGAGCACTGGGCCCGGAGTCATGAAGACCTGAGTTCAAATCTGCCTTCAGACATTTACTAGCTGTGTGACCTGGACAAGTCACTCCATTCTGTTTGTCTCAGTTTTCTCATCTGTAAAATGAGCTGATGAAGGAAATGGCAGATCACTCCCACATCTTTGCCAAGAAAACCCCAAATGGGGTCATGAAGAGTTGGGACACGACTGGTATGAGTAAACATGTATATAATAATCACCTTGTCTGCATCCACGAGAGAATTTATCCAAAGGTTTGGTAAAAATCCAGTATTGCCCTCATTTGCCACTTCAGTAATCATACTTAAGAAGGCAATGAAGTCATTTTGGCTCACTCACTGTTCTGTTTTGCAGACACCCATCTTATTTCTATTGTTAAAAATGGTGCAGAGTGCCACAGATTCAACTGTCAAGGTACTAGGATCTACATTAGAAGACAGAGGATACAAAATGATGAAACCACAGATTGTCTGAAACACTGAAGCAAGAAAAAGAGTTTTTCCCCTCCTATATAGGAAAGAAATCTGGTTCAGTGAAGAGTTAATTTGTATTGCAACAACTATAACAAATTCCAAAATGATAAACTCTGCTGACAAGACTGAAGAAGTCCTCTTGTGAAATGTAGTCTGAAAAGCAAAACAAGTTATTCCAACCAGATACCTGTATAGGCAAGATGGATTAAAAAAAAAAAAAGAAAAGAAAAAAAAGGCTGCCCAGTATTTCAAGGTCCACTCCTAAAAAGTGGACTAGAAAGTCATCTTCTGCTCTTACCTGGTGAATTCTTCACAAAACTCTCTGGTGTAATTGCAAGCTGCTCCACTGTTACCATAGAAAAGTTCACTGGGGTCTTGAGTTTATCCGGTGTCCTGAAAGCTAGGTCTACTGCTGCTTCTTGTTCTTGGTGCAGTAAAAGTTTCTCATCAACTAAAGACCTATTTTCTGAAACCCAAAAAAAGACATTGTACAGTATGAATTATGGCACAAAAATTTAAAGATTCCCAAACTCTAAATTCCAAAATAAGGAAACTGGTCTCCACATACCAATACCATTAATAACAGGTTCCTTGATTTCAAGGCCATCCGCAACTTCTGAAATGACATCCATCTAAAAAATAAGGAATATGATGGCTATTGGAAAAAAGTTCAAAATGGCTCTGCTTAATTTAGGAAACTTAGCTAAATTTTTAGCACAATTACATGAACACAACAACAAATACATGCCCTTAGTCCTGAGGAAAGTTTTGAATATAAAATAGAAAGGCAAGGATGAAAAAGATAAGAGATCAAACAAATGCCATAGGTCAAGAAGGAATTCACAATATTGATGAGAGATGTCACTGGTATAATAGAAAGAACACGGAATTATTTCTACTAACTGTTTTTGAGGTTGCAGAGAGCTGAGAACTGAGGGAGTACCCATTGACTGAGGAAGAGCCGAACAAGTTCTGGTATTATGTATGCATACGACGGAATGCTATCGTGGGATAAGAAATGACCAAGGGGAGAAAACTGGAAAAACCTGCACGCTCGATGCAGAACTGAGCAGAGCCGAAAGATCAATTTATAGAATAACAACATTACTGTAAAGACTTAGATCTCTAATCCATGAAAAGATCAATTAAACTGTCTAGGATTCATCATGAAACGTGCTACCCACTTTCTGACAGAGGTGATATGACAAAGTGATCAGATTGAGGCATATTTTTTGACATGGCGAAGGGGAGAATTTATTCTGCTTAACTATACATGTTTGTACCAGGAGTTTTGTTTTTCTTCCTTCTCAATGCTGTGGGGAGTGAAGGGGAAGGCATGACAAAGGGAGCGGAAGCAATTTTTTTTAATTTAAAAAAAATTTAACTAATTAGAATAAGAAAGAAAAAAATAGCCATTGAATTTGGAGGTAGGTTCAAATTTTAGCTGTGTTACTGAATGCTTTGATGACTTTGATCAAGACACTTCTGTCTATGCCTCAGTTAGCTCAATCAGGAGAATTATTTCAGTTAGTTTTCAGTCCTGTCTGACTCTTCATGACCCCATCTAGAGTTTTCTTGGCAAAGATACTGGACTGGTTTGCCATTTTCTTCTCCAGTTCATTTTACAGATGAGGAAACTGAGACAAACAAGGTTAAGTGACTTGCCCAGGGTCACACAGCTAGTAAGTGTCTGAGGTCACATTTGAACTCAGATCAATCTTCCAGACTCCAGGTCTGACACTGTGCCCCCTAACTCTCCCAATAAAATGATAGTAAGATGACAGTGTTGGACTAATGATTGCTAAGGTCCTTTTTACCACTAAATCCTTTGAGAATCCTATCTGTGAAAGGTAAAGTGATTTACCCAAGGTCCCAAAAGTAGGAGGTCTCAAAGCTAGGATTTAACCCAAGTCCTCTGGTTCCAAATGCAGCTCTCTTACACCTTCTCACAACAAAGACAAGATATGTCTAAAGTGCTTTTTGAGGAGATGGAAATTAACATGAAGATCTCATCCTCATGAAGCTGTGAAAGAGATATAAAATACCAATAGATAATCATTAATTGCTCAACAATCTCAATTCCTAGGAACATTCTGCCATACTACGAATCAGAACTTGTCTGCTTTCTCACCGGGTACCCTGTCCCTGTACTTTCATAAATTTTCTACAGCAAATTGCACCCAAGTCTTTTGATACTTCAAGGGACCCAGGCAGTACTTGGGCTGAGGGTGTTTTCGTGACTTTACTACGCTGTGCACCATTACCACAAGCTCTGGAAGGATGCTGAACAGAATGGGATGGAATGTCCCCAGAATCAGAGCTAGAAGCAACCTTGGACATCAATGAGAGTTTTACAGATCTCATTTCAGCATCACAACCTAGTGAGCTAAGCATGACAAGGAGGGCAGACATCCTGTTATCCAGATGAGGAAACTGATGCTCAGAGAGGTTCAGGAACTTGTCCATGAGCAGTCACTGAGTTCTGAGTTGAGATACGACCTCAGGTCCTTCTGACTTTCTGCATGTTTTCCACTACAAACAACCCCATGGTCATACAGACAAGACACCTCCAATCCAGAAGGAGAGTGAGTATAAGCGACCTGCTCTTGTCATGTCCTCTGCTCCCTCATTTTAACGATGAGAAGAGTGACACTGAAGGAACATGGAAGTGCTCTGCCAAGGTCATAAGTAGCAGGAGAGGGATTTGACCCCAGGCTCTCCCCAAATTCATAAATGCCTGTGGTTGACAGTCACTAAGAGAAACATCAACTCCAGCTGGGCTTTGAAAAGAAAGCCTTCTTGGCCTGGGCCCAGCCTCCTTGCCCATCACCCCCTTCCCACCCTCTGGCTTTCTCTGTCCTCACACAGGGCACTCCACGCCTTTACTGTGAGGACCCCCAAGCCCATCATGTGGCACCTCCAAGAATCCCTCACTTGAGGAAGCAGCAGCGACTTCCACATGAAGTCTCTTCTAGTTCCCCCAGATCTATTCTGCACACATAGTCATAGCTCCCCAACATGTCAAACGCTCCTTCAGAGCAGGGACCAACTGGTGAGATTTCCGCCTTTTCTCCCCACGGCCTTGTGTACTTCCCTCAACATAAGGAGCACTTCATGCACCTCCAGGAGAGTTCATGAAAGCTTCTCTTTCAATCTCCCCCCAGCACAGAAGGGTAAATGCTCTGGGTGAGGTCCCAATGGTTTCCATGGGCTGGACATAAATATATACAAACTACCTACAAGGCGACAGGCAGAGCAGAGGGAGGCACTAGCAACTGAGCTCTGAAGGAAATCAGGGATTCCAAGAAGAGAGGGAATACAGTCGCGGATGGAGGAACAGCTGAAGATGAGCCATGGAATGTTCTGTGTGAGCAATGGTAGCTAAGAAGGGCAGCCAGGCTGGGTGTGTATGACAAGGCTGGAGAGACCAGGTCAGGTCTCGCTGTGGCCACTCTAAATGACCAGGTCTGCACCGGATCCCGTGCTCACTCTGAGGGTACCACGGCAGCAGGCTGGGCAGGGGAGGGGCAACTGTGGAGGACGTGCTTCAGAAGAGACCCCAATTAGGATGCCACTGCAAATACAGCTATCATAAAAATAATAACAGAAGTTTAGCACTGCCAAGCGTGCAAAGAGCATTACAGGTTAGCACATTCGAGGTTAGTGATGGCCATGCAAAGGTGCTTTTCTCCCAATTTTACAAATGAGGATACAGCACCAGGGAGGTCAAGCGCTTTGCCAAGGGCCATACACTTAGCAAGTCCCTGAGGCTGGATCTGAACCCAAGCAAACAAGGGGAATTTATTAAGAGCTGACGGTGCTCTGGGCGTTCTGCTAAATGCTGAGGATACACAGAAATGGCAAACCAAAACAAAAACAATACAGCTAGGTGGAGCAGTGGCTAGAGTACTGGCCCTGGAGTCCGGAGGACCTGAGTTCAAATGCAGCCTCAAGACACTTGATACTTACTAGCTGTGTGACCCTGGGCAAGTCACTTAACCCCATGGCCTAACAACAACAAAAACAGAACACATAGTCTCTGCCCTAAAAGGAGCTTTGATTCTAATGGGGGAGACAAGATGAAAATGCTACATACCAGAAGACATATACATTGCAAATCAAAGGTAATCTCAAAAGGGACTTTGCTTTCTGACTCCCATTTAAAGGCTACCTTCACTCCCCAGCAGCCAGTGAAGAGATAAACACAGAAATGAGGATAAGGTCAGGGGCAGGAAGTGGACCCGCGATTTTACTGGTACGAGGAAATTCCCTCTACCAAAGCACTGCCACTTACTACAGTCTTAAGAGTAACGTGACTCTCTGAGGGTCACACAGCCCGGATGTGTCCAAGGTGGATGAGAGGCCAGCTCTCTACCCACTGAGAAAATATAGGATAAAGTGGGAGGAGAAAATGAGGCTGGGGACTTCGCACAGCCCTGCCTCACTTAAATCCAATTCACCTGCACATCACACCATCACCTTCCTGATGTCCAGGTCCTCTTCAAGAAAGAAGGACAAACACAACAACAAGATAAATAGAAGAGAGGAGTGAGGAGATAGATGGAGACCCAGACAGAGCCAGAGAGTATGAGACAGAGATACAAGAGACAGAAACCCATGGAGACCCAGAGAGATACAGGGAGGACACAGAGACAGAGAAACAAAGAGACCGGGACACGCAGAGATCAAGATACCGGGTGAAAGTGAGATACACAGAAACACAGAAGCACGGACAGAAGGATGCAGAGACAGAGATGAAGATGCATGGGGAGAGAGAAGCAGAAAAACAGAAGGATGCCCAGAGATGAACACAGAGATGCACAGGGAAAGAGAGAAACAGAGATGCAGGGACAGAAAGATGAAGAGACACAGAGATGAAGATGCACGGGGAAAGAGACGCAGAAAAAGAGAAGGATGCCCAGAGATGAACAGAGAGCATGGGGGAAGAGAGAAACAGAGATGCAAGGACAGAAGGATGCAGAGACAGAGATGAAGATGCATGGGGAGAGAGACGCAGAGAAACAGAAGGATGCCCAGAGATGAACACAGAGACAGGAAGGTACACAGAGAGAGACTTGCACTGAGAGAGTGAGATGCAGAGAGATAGGGATAGACAGGGCAGGATTAATTGGGGGGGGGGTCAGGAAAGGCTTCCCGCAGGGGGCGGGACCTCGGCTGAGCCTAGAGACCACTTAGCCGAACACCTGCACTGCTGAGGCTCCGAGAGCACCAAGGGGCAGGCATTAATTAGGCGCCTACTACATGCGAAGCTTCGGGAAAGCCAAGACAACGAGCCGGGCGGCCGCCCCGGTCCCTATTCCTCCCCCCGCTCCCCGCCGGTCCCCCGGCCCCCCCGGCCGGCCCGGGCTCCCTCACCTCCTGGTCGCCGCCGCTGCCATGTCCCGCCGCCAGGTTCAAACGGCCGGCAGCGTGCCCCGCCCCATCACGAGCGCCTCCGTCAGCGCGTCGTCTCTCGCGACCAACCACCCGACCCCCGCGTATCCTTCCGCCAGCCTCCCGCGCGCCTGCGCAGTCCGCGGACTCTGCCCCGCGGCCGCGAGGACTTCTTTGCCTTCTCGGCGGAGTGATCCTTTGGCGAGTTCACCTGAGAGAAGACTATTCCCGCCGGCTGCAGACACTCCTTTCGGTTGGCTCCCGCGATTTCGAAAAGTAGCCTTCGGACCAATCACGACCGGATGCCGGGGTTCGATAGTAGCCAATAGGCAATTCCGGACGGGCGGCGCTTCCGTGATTGGTGGGATTAAGGGAGAGAGGGGGCGGGACAGTGGGGCTGTCCGTGGAGTGGGCTGCTGTTCCTCCTCCTCGGGCGCCCTGGCTTCCCTCGCACTGCTTCGCGATTGGTCGGACGCTGGAGCCGTCACGCTTCGGGTTCCAGCCCCGAGCTTGCCTCGGCTTCCGATTGGACCTTTTCTTCGTCCCACTTAAGCCCCTCCCTCTGTCACGTTAAATTCGGGCCCACCCTCTCCTCCTCGCGATTGGTTGAGCGGCCTCCGGCCCTGCTCCGTGATTGGTCTGGGTCGCCGCCAGTCTCTCTGGGGGCGGGGTGAGGGGGAAAGGCCAGGAACGGGCGGAGTAGTGGGGTGTGGAGAGTGGGAGGGGACGGCTCTCGGGGGGGTGTGTGTGTGTTGGGGTCTGGGGCGGAAGGACCCCCCCCAGGGAGGCGGGTCAGGCTGAGGGCTGCCTCTGGGTCCCGGGTGGGTGGCGGGGGGAGGGGGAAGGCGGGGGGGTGGCGGCTCCCTCGGGACCCGGCGCGGGCAGCGCAATGAGGCGGGTCACCCTGTTCCTGAACGGCAGCCCCAAGAACGGCAAGGTGAGGGGGGAGGGGCGACGGGAGGGAGAGGGAGGGGCTACGGGGAGGGGAGGGGGAGGGGCCCGGGGGGCCGGAGTAGGCAGCGGACCCCCGAGTTCAGGTGTTTGGCAGGTGTGGGGCGCCCCGCCCTGGAGCGCCCCGCAAAGTCCTCCATCTGCATTTATCCCCTCCTGGGGATTTCCTGGTGGTCAGGAACACCCATCGTGGCTGCTCCCTCCACTCATGTAGCTAACCCCCTTATCACCGCGTAACCCCTGCATTGTACAGATCGGGAGACTGAGGCTTACACAGGATCATAGGGTAGCGCTGGAAGGGGCCTTACGGTCACCTAGCCTAATTATCCCTTCTTTTTACCGATGAGGAAACTGAGGCCCGGGAGGGGGAGGGGAGGGGAAGTGACTCCGCAAGGTCAAGGTAGTGTAAATAGGACCCTAGGGTTCTAGATGTAAGACTGGAAGGGGTCTCAGAGACCAATGTAGCCCACCTCCCTCATTTTACAGATGAGGAAACTGAGGCTCAGGGAGGCGAAATAGCTTACCCAACAAATATAAACTCTTCTGGCATTTAAAAACCCTTCCCAACATGTCTCAAACCTGCTTTTCCAGGCATATCACATATAAGTTCTTTTCACCTGTTCCATGGTTCCTACTCTGTCCCTCATAGGGTGGTAGATGTTGAACTCCAAGGGACTCATCTCGTCAAAGGGTAGAGTCCAGTGCCTTCTAGTCTAATCTGCTCCTCCCCCATTCCCCATTTGGTTGGTAAGGACACTGAGATCCAGGCAGGTTAAGCGATTTCTTCCCTTCTCCTTACCCTGCTTCTTATCTCTGTGCCTTTGCATTGACCATCCTCCACCTCCAAAATGCCCTCACCTCACTTCTTAGAAACTCACTTTCTTTAAGACTTGGCTCCAGGAGCCACCAGTTCTGTCTCGGTTTTTCCTTATGCCTCCCACTTCTTCCTCCAAAGTCACCTTCTGTCTGTTTTATATGTTACTATATATTAGATATTTACATACACATACATACCTATACACATATTATCTTTCCTCTTCTGTAATTTAGAGAATTGTCTGGGGCCTTGGGAGATTAAAAGACTTCCCTTGGGATGGTTGATACTTTGTGCCTGACTGATGATACTAAGACAAAAAATAGAAACATCTCTACCCTTGAGGAGCTTCTCTTCTGTGGAAACAAGGAGTCCACTTTTAAGCATTTACAAAGTAAAGGAAAAGTCTTGGGGGAGGGAAGGGGAGGGCATGGCTCAGAGGAAAGGGAAGCCTATAACTGTGCTTGAATTCCCTGAAGAGGTTGAGAGCCCCAGAGAAATAATAAGTACTGTAGCTTGGCCAGGGTCATTAAGGGAATAGCGCTGAACCAGCATCCTTGGACCCAGGTAGTCCACTCTTTCCGCTGTATGGAGCAACCACCTGGCTTTTCTTAATTCCCGTGTTCAAAGCTAATTAGTGGCCTGAGTTTGTACTTGAATGAAGTAAGACAGGATCTTAAATCCAGACTGAGACACTGCTTAGTTGTAGATCACTGGAAAGATTTCTGGATTTGGAGTCATATGGGTTAAATCCTGCCTCTGTCACTACTTCTGTTGTTCTTTAGTCGTGTCTGACTCTTCATGACCCCATTTGGGGTTTTCTTGGCCAAGATACTGGAGTGGTTGGCCATTTCTTTCTCCAGCTCATTTTACAGATGAGGAGACTGAGGCAAACAGTGCCCAGTAGTAAGTGTCTGGGGCTGGATTTGAGCTCAGGTCCTGTTGACCTGAGGCCCAGTGCTTTATCCACTGCACTACTGAACTGGTCTTTGGCAAATCACTTCCTGAAAAATTATGGCTTTGGACTTAAATGACCTTCTAAGGCCCCTAGATTCATGAGCCTAATTTTAATTATTTCACCTTTCATGTTCCTGATCTGTAAAACATTGGTATTACTTATGTTGAGAATTTTAAGTAGAGGCTAGTGCCCTCAGTGTTAGAGCTGCATTTCAGTTTCTTCCACAAATCAGTCTGTAAGCTCTGGGCAAATCACTAAACATCTCAGTGCCCTCTGGGAACTCTCAGTCTGCAGTAGCTAATCTGCACTGGGGGGATGGAGTTTTCTCTTATTGTTACTGTATTCCCTACTGCAACAAAATCACAAGTCTGGACCAAGGAAATCCACCTGCCTTTTATAACAGCTCTGGAAACCTTGCAAATTAGTCACTGTGCAAACTGTGAACTGGGATGGCTATTGTCCTGTGCCTAAGGTTACAATTGGGAGTATAGCCTTCTAGCTGGAAGGCCAGGAGAGGGGAGGGAAGAAGCATGTCTGTTATCACCTATTGTGTGCCAGGCGCTGGATCCTCACAAACACCTTGGGAGATATGTGCTGTTATGTCCCCATTTTATAGATGGGAAAACTGAAGTAGAGAGAGGTGAAGTTACTTGCCCAGGATCACACGGCTAGTAAATGACTGAGCTGGATTTGAATTTAGGTCTTCCTGACTCCAAGTCCAGAGCTCCATGCACTGTGTCACCAGCTGCCTTCGAAGGACATTAGGTATTCTCTAGTTCAAACTTTGCTTTTACAGCTGGAAGAACTGAGTCTCAGAGAGGTGAAGGGACTGGCTGAGCATCACACAGGCAGTTCTGGTTGCAGAGCCAGAATTCTGAGCCCCAATCCAGTGTTCTTTCCAGATTATTGGGAGAGGGGGTTGGATAAGGCAATGGAGGCACAAGGGATTCTCAAGAAGAGGGAAGGCTGGCTGTGAAGCGCCTAGTGGATGAAAGTCTCAGGGCCGTGGGATGTAGATCAGCTTATTGATCAGCTAGGGTTAGAGTTTCCAGCATTTATCTGTCACTGAACCTCTTAGCTTTTAGCAGTACAGTGGCCATAGTTTGGTTTGGTTTGAAATCTTAGTAGATGAGAGGAGTATCCTTATTGATGAGATAGAGATCTCTGCAGGTCTGGCCTGGGGTTCCAGAGGGTGCAGCAACAGGGAGGGCAGATGGCAAGAAAGTGGTTGGGATGCTAGATCTGAATCAGTACTGTTGTTGTAGGGTTTTCTTAAGATGTTTCTTTAGCTCTTTCCCCTAACAAACAAAGTTAATGTGATTCATTTATAGTTTTTTGTCATTAGATTTTTGAAAAACTTGGAGTATGCATAAGTTCAATCAAACCTAAAATCAAGTCGGGGCCACTGGCATTTATTAAAGTCTTTATAGGTTCTGCCACTGTGCTGAGCCTAGGAGATGCCAACACAGGTTAAGGACAGTCCCACCTTCAAGGTGTTCACTTTCTAATTCTGGAGAAAATATATAAATATCTAGGTTTATCAAAGACTTATACAGAGAGATAAAGTTAATATAAAAGACCAGGAAAGGCCTCCTGACTAAGGTGGGTTTTGAGCCAGTCTTGAAGGAAGCCCAGGAAGTTTAAGCAGCAGAAGGAAGAGGGATGAGCATTCCAGACTTAAGGTGCAGCCAGTGCAAAGGCTCTGAGATGGGAGGTGGAGCATTGGAAGAACTGCAACAAGGCCATTGTAAGTGGATTATAGAGTGCTTGGAGGGGATTGAGGAGCTTGGGTCCTTGAGGTCACAGGGAACTCAAGGTGGGTAGGAGAGGGAAGTGGTAGAGAAGGCGACCAGGTCAGACCTATGCTTGATTGAAGGATGGATTGTAGTAGGGAAAGACTTAAGGCACAGAGACTAGTTAGAACTTTATTGCTTTGGACCTGGCTTCAGGTGATGAGGGCCTTAACCTAGGATTATGTAATGAAGAGACACAGGAGAGATGTTGTAAAGGTAAAAACGACAAGACTTGGCACATTATTAAAACTGAACATTTGAGTCAGACACAGTATGTAAATATAACTGTGAAGCTTAGATCCTGCTGGGGAGAGGGGGAGTGAACATGGCTTGTGGAGTTGCCATTCTCCCCCCCCCCCCCCCCCCCGTTAACTAACTGTGTCCCTTGTAAAGGTGTGACACCTAACCTTCCCCCCCACCCCCGACACCTCCAAACCTCTACTATTCAGCAGTGGTCCTATGCCTCAATAGAAACTGCTGGTGTTTGAGAGGAGTGTTTGTTTAGGAATATATTTGTTAGGTCCCTGAATGGCAGAAAGGAGAAATTG